CAAATTAAGCATTGCATAAAAATGAACAATCAAGTATGTCCAAATAATAAATTTATCTGTGGTAACTACATATAATTAAAGTTTGGTTAAAAAAATGATTCTAACAAGTATTGAAAATGATAGTTGAATGCCTTTAAAATTTAATGCCAGGCAACGTTGATGACACACGTTAACTCTATGTCCGTAGAATCAACGCACTACTGCATTCCTTAAGACTAAATCTAGCCAGCATAATGCCCTAGGCGCTGACAGATCATGTTTTCTTGGCTGAACGAATAAGTGATTACATACATTGCTAGTAGGATGCTTGCTTTTCTAAGAATTTAATTGCAACACATTGATAAAGACTTGATTTTTTTTCCTACGAGATTTGAAAATAAAATCTGCCAAAGAACGTCTCTTTACAGTCGAATACATTTTAATTCGCAATATTTAAATGTCATTTTTGAATTCAAAGTTTTGTGTGATTGCGCAACAAATTACAATGAGTCAATGACCCGTATGTGATGTATTCCATAAAAATCTTCATTGAGAATTTTAACGCGAAATTATACAAAATTAACCTTGCGTACCGATTGGTATTTCGTTGTTTCTGACTATCATCCAAATATAATAATCTCGCATTTTTCGACCTTTGTCTGCTTTGTTGTTTCCACAAAACAGAAGCTAATGAAAATGATGATTCATTCACTCTCTGCGGTAGTAAAAGAGCACACGTGTCGGATGGATTTCAAAAAACAAAAATTTCTAGAAGGTTAATTACGCTCAGAACACAACCACAGATATCGCATGCTGAGATGATAATACAGATACGCCTTTGAAATGTAGGTAGTTCGCGGCTGATTACTACATAAGTATCAGGCACCAGCGTACAATGTTTTTACCTTAACGCTCAACTTAATTACTGCTTAATAACAGTACATTTTGTGACCTTTTTTGAACGAATGGAACACGTAATGTTTGCAAGTCAACGGGTCGATAAGGAAATTGCCCTAACTACCCGGAATAAAATTCAATTTATTTCCAATTGTTTACGGAACGGTTGGAATGTCACGGTTGCCTCGGAACAATTTCTTTAGCAACAGAACTGATCTTTGTGTTCATTTCATACGCATTGATTTGAATGAAAATCGAAGCGTTATAAATAACAATTTAATTTTGTCTAATATCAGTGGTGAGATTTGACTGTGTATATCTCATGGAATTTTTTTCAAATTCCAAGTTAATCCATTTCGAAATTCAAAAGTGTGTCGAAATAAATTGCTTCAATTAGCGTTTACTATTATTATGGGTGATCCCAAACAACAAAACCATAAATCAAATAATTACAAAAAATGAAAAAGAAATAAGCTAACACTATAACACAAAAGTTACAGTAATTTAGGACGATTTGCACAAAATGCCCTATCTAGTCTAGAATATGTTTCAAATGACCTGGGTTGTGAATTTTAAGGTGTCGCTCAGTATATAAATATTACTAGAGCCAATGAATGCATTCTTAAATTTATTTAAAGTGTTGCTGAGCAGAGCATAAGAATATGACAACAAAACATACAACCGCAAGATGCAGACCAAAATCCCCACGTTTGATGTTAGCACTAACAATGGGGTATAAAATACAGGTGATAGAAATTCCGATAAATTATTTACATTTTTTTTGCGTAACGTCCAAATGATCTGATTGGGAACTAGATTATCATTATTAATTCATGTAACGCGCTAGCCAACGATCTAAAGAAATTTGTGTCACGAATATTTTTTGACTGTCAGCCGGATGCTATACTATCCGGAAATAAAGATTCTATTTTTAATGAAATTGCACAAATATGTTGGCATCTGGCATGTTGGCATTTTTTCTAAAGTATTAGAAAACATTTTCATCCAAATATACTGTACAATCTGTCTCTAACACGAGATAAATACATTTACGCCATGCGTTTATACACCATCATGTAACACGATGACACTCGAGAAGTTGGGGAATTCAATGAATGTTCCATATTATGTTTGTACTAATTATGACATAAAAGGGTAAACAATTCTAATCTGTAAGAGAAGTGAAATCCCAAAATACATTCTATATTTAAACCCAGCGAATGGTGCTTCCTCGTGTGGCGCGGTTACGGGAATCCCTTTGGGATAGAATCATCGCTTAAATTTTCTAAATTCATTTTAGTTTTTATGTCAAATTAAAATTAGTACGCTTCTGTGGGTTTGGTGATAAATACGTTGAGAATCACCCAAACTTCTTACGTCACAAAACCTGGAAGCTTTGGGATTGGCACTATCTAAAATGCCATACCACATGGGAGTTGCGCTATATGCGTTGGTCAGTATTCGGAACAAAAATAAAAAAAACTAGTTTGGGGTTTTTCGACTATCATTACGCCCAAATAATTAAAAATTCTGTCACAGCTTGACATTTCAATAAAAGTCTTTTGTGAGGTTTTTCAAAATTGAAGCAATCAACCACGGTACCTAATAAAGAACATTTAGGAACAAGTATAGAAAACAAAAATGATCTATATATAAAACTTTATGCCATACAAAGATGAAAATGCATCTGGTATGAGATACGAATTCATTGAATCTGACTTTATCTGAACGAGGCCAAATGTTTGCAGCAATACACTGGCATTGCGTGAGACGGAATCCGCTATATACACAAATCATATATTGTCTACATTGTACTAAGCGAGACCTAGTCGCGGTCATTGTCCTCGTAGGACACCCATAGAGCGAAATTCACAATAGAAATACATCCTACAATAATTTCAGAGCAAACATAAAGAATAACGCGTTGGTCAGCTGTCGGTTCCAAGTTTAGGTGATGACCTAAATCGAGAGAAATCATTTCGTATGACAACATTCAGACCTACAGCTTATGAAATCTCTATGTTTGTCAAACATTTCCTAACGTTAATTCTGGGTTGCCAGTTTTCTAATGTCATTTGGTGGTTGTTTGTCTTTGAACCTAGCACAATAATGATTCTAACGATGAAATAACGATAGATAATATGATTTGAAACACAAAAAGCAAAAATGTGTCAAGTATGACTAGAGGAAGCGCGTGGTGAATCGAATTATCACAGTATTCCCACAACAGATCCTTAGGGGCTCATAAATGTACATGCGTGAAGAATTGCCTGCTTTACGGCAATGCCCAACAATTTTACATATGAGTTGCCAGTTTCATCGATTTGAAAGGACACGCGTTCAAGCCACTACAATGTCTATCCCAAAGGATTTATCCAAATGCTGTGAACTTTCAAAAAGGGAATAGGGCGAAAATAAACAACTTTATACACGACGTATTCGTATTGAAGCGTTAAGTTAGTAGCGTACGTTCATGCTATCATTAATCGTTTGGACGATTAATGATAAAATGGCTGTCGGTACGAGGATATTATTGGACATTTTTAGGTTCTTTTACTTTCGCAATCTCAACAGTAAACATTTTGGAAAACGAGTTCGCAATAGTCCATTCAGATATTTTTTCGTTTATTCACAAAACAATATTTTTGTATGAGCGACGAGATTGTCTTAATCTGATGATACATGCTTGAAACAAAATTATATTATTGATTTATGCAACAATAATTTTCATACGTAAAAATTTCACAGAAGTTTGGAATTTAATATCCAATACAATGAATTTTTCAACAATATTTGTGCTGTGTATATCCTTCATTTCAAAATTATTCAAATTACTCAATTCCGTGGGTTTCATCGTTAGAATCAAAAAACAAGTTAGGATAATCCGTTCACGGAAAAAAACGATTTTTCGGCAAAAGTTCACGCCCGTGTTGATGGTACAATTTTAAACAATATTCCTGTTGTATGGTTCCAAATCAGCTTAACGGGACGGGACGTATTCGCCGTACCAGCGAGCAACGAAAAAGCCACGTTAATGTTTTTTCTTAATTTTTCGTAATTTTCTTATCCCAATTTTTTGGTGTTTATAGTTTTAGTAAGGCATTGCTTGATGGGGCGGACAAAAATAATATTCATTTATAGGTCTTCGTTGATCTACAGATGTTTATTTGTCAATTAAAACGAAATGAAATACAAACAAACTTTAGAGATTTCCTGAGAATGATTGAACTGTTTTACAGCGTATTAAACACAGGTTGAATATTTATGATCAAAACACTGAGTTCTATGGCCGGAGGGTAGATTTAGCTTCAAATTCTTGAAGGTTGGTTTACATTACTTTCCAAAAACAAATTCCTTTGGACCGAATCAGGTCTTAAGGATTACTCCGTGACAAGTCTTATCAAAAATCAAATTCGCATGCCGCCAATCATAAAATTTGCGTTTAGATTGATCAATGAAAAGACTGCCAATCGTTGATCGATTTATCATTAGTTCAAAATACGAGAACGTATATTTTTCAAGTATAAAAATGGACCGAAAACCAAATTCAAATACAATTTCATCAACCACAAAGAATTTTATCTGTTATTTCTTGGAGTCAGCGCATTTAGTTGAAAATTTAATCTCATTCATCAACCAGAGAACACGTTAGTTGTCCATAGAGAATGTTTGGCTCAAGCATAACTGCTTTGCATTTAAATTGCCAATGCTTCACTTCGATTTGTCTCGTAAAACGATATTTGCAAAACTCCATTATCATATGCAATTTGATATATCTATATCATTATCAGCATTACATGTTATATGTGGCAGAACGTATTGTACAAAGAACCACAAACTTATATATACTCCCACGGCCTCCGCTTTTCCATTGCCTACTCTTACTTGTATTTCCACCACTATTATTACTTTTTTTTAGGTTGATATTCTAAATTTAATACTAACAATATAAACTGATGATTGAATAAAGACGTAGCATAGATTCGTAACTTGCGCTGGTTATTGGTGAACCCAATAAAAATGGTAGATACGATTTTGCGTCCATATATGTCCATTACTTACATTACTCTAATCAGCTAAACAATACAACAAGACTTGAAATGAATTCGTGAAAACAATCATACCTTTTCCTTGTACGCCTGAATTTCTTGACACAAACAGAAGTAAAATCAGAACCAATATATTGATCTTTAAGTTCATATTGTCTTTGGTTGTAAAGACGTTTGTTCTTGATCTTCAAGTCTTCATGCGTCCATATCAGAAGACAAGATTCGAATATATTCCGGTAATGGATTATTCATATATATATAGGGTCCGTGTGGTTTTCTCTTTTCAAGTTTAAATCCGATCAAAGATGTGAACAACCTTACTTCAGAAAACGAATAATAAAATATCCTTAAATTAAAACACCGGATCGATTATATTCAACTTATCAAAAATCCGGAAGAATTGAGAACTGCATAAAACAATTTGATGAAATAAATGAAATATTTTTTAATAAAAACCTAAAAATCACTTTCTCCACTAAAAGGCGGATGTGTTAAAATGTTGATGTATAACTTAAAATAAATCTCTCTAGCATTGGTAACAATTTATGTTCTTTTTTTAGTTATAACCTTGGTTATAAGCCACTGTTAACAATATCGAAATGTCAAAGGTGTATTCTTTAATTCAATCTTTGATCTGATAACACAAAGCTCTAACAAAGTAAAAACTGATTTTGTTTTTGAAAAAAGTAGATCAGTTTACTGGTTGATACACCTAAGCCTTTCGAATCAGTGGTATCGGAGGAGCAAGAATCTAGGTAGAGAAACTCACTGTTGGTTTGAACCCACAACTGAACTGGTGTAACACTGAAGAAAACTAGCATAACACCGCATGTTAACAATAAAATTGACGCCGTGAAATTGGGATTATATGATTGTATAATATATAAAGTTCATAAAAAGTTTATGAGAAGTGCGCTTCTAATATAATAATCCTATTATTCTTCTTCCAAAAAATCTTATCGTGATTTTCCTAATCCAAAAATGAGAAAGTTTTTTTCTGCCGAATTCGCGATTGTGTCAATGCATTTAATTTACAGAATATTGTTGAAGTTTTTAAAATATGCTTCAATTCTGTACAGCATTTGAGTTACATTTAATCCGTATTGAAGCGAGTGAACGACGGTTTCGAACACTTAATCGGAGAGCCTCTACAGAAAGTAAGGTTTTACACATTCAGATTGGACATGTAACTGATATGCACAGAGGAAGCCTAGAATATCAAGAAGACAGGGAAATGACAGCTTAATTGAGTATGTATTCGGCTTGAGTAAAGCGGTAGGAAGTTTGAATAATTCACATTTCAGATACACTATTATGCGCCAGTTATGGACGCATTTGAAACCTTGATTACGATGTGAGAAATCATACCAATTTTAAACGCTAGCGACAGTTATAGATGTAAATCTGACAAAGTGCATTGCTTTACGAACACTTATAAAGCATTGCAAAAGTTGGAACAAATCTTGAATGCAATGCTTTAGAGACACCGGACCATATATCGTTTATTAGATTTACTGCCGGAAAGAGGGGCAGGAAACAATCCCTGACAAAACCTTGAGGATAATAAAAGCAAAGGACCAATAAAGTCTGCAAACAATGAACGTTTTGCAGGGAAACAATAAAAGTCAACAAATCGTGGAACATCTTATGAATCATTAACGACTGAAGTGGTTTGTTTTATCACGGGAGCGAGGCAGGAGGTTCCGATATCGAAAGACAAATATATTTGAATGATATCGAACTAAACCAGCTAATCGCAGTGAAAAAATCTGTTAGGTTACTGATATACAGTAGTGATTAGACCACTGATTATCATGTTGATACCCATCAACAAGTTGCAAGGAGTATCTCATATTTTCTATCATGAATACTGTACACGGTTGTATTGCTTCAATATAATATTATTAATTTTAAATAATATTATCGCGCGGGGAATGATAGAAAGCATATAAAGGCGCAAACAATACGGATTCGGAGATTTCTTTGCCCAATCATATAAAATTATTGTATGTAGCTACTTGAAAAAGTTCTGCAAAACGAACTACTTGCTACTAGGAAGTGAGCGTTGCATCTATATAAGTTCGACAAGTATCTCAAACCTCACAAAATCGATGTAAAGATTCGGTAGACTTTAAAAGGTCCATTAATGGTTACCATAATTATACTTTATGTCATGCATATTTCATCGCTTCACTTCATCAATGCAATTGGAAGCGTTTGAAATTATTGCACCTATTTTTTTTATCACAAAGATCATAATACATACACAAGTGGGGAGAAAAACAAGAACTGACAACCTTCCAATTCACTTCTGGTTAACACGAAACGAATTCGTCCTGGTAATTCTGTGTTAGTATTTGGCACTTCTATAGTTTATATATATACTCAGCTCAAGCAGAAAAGCTACCGCAACTTACAATATGAGGAGACATAAATTGGGATTATAGTTATATTAAAACTTTGTCTACATAAATTCCGTTTTTTTTGGGGGTAGAAGTGATTAAATTTTGTACAAAATACATTAAATCTGGAGCGTTGTATACCGAGCCAAACTTTCTATAGTCTTTATAACCTACACGTTATTTACGCAAGCACCGGACCATGTCAAACACAAAGAACGTCATTGAGGGCTTTTGAAGTGGGTTGTCCCATTGTAATGTTCCGCGAATCGTTTGCTGCTAAAGCGACCAGGCACAGTCGTGTTTAGATAATAACTCGAACAGGAACTGACTAGACCCTTTCTACTTAGCGTTCTACAAGTTAACACCTTCGGAACTTCCATTATCAAATTTAATGCCCCAGTATTATAATCATGACCCTAAAATATCTGAGATAGGCTACATCAATCACTTAACAGTAACGAAATATTCTATAAATAATTTGATGTTTTATATATATATACTTAAAAATATGAAGATAGGTTTGTTTCTGCATTATTCCTCAAACATTATTCAAAATATTGGTTTTTATACAAATTAGAAATCATAGAATACCAATAATATTATTGAATCAGAAATAATCTGTAACCCGAATGAAGCAACACCGTGAAGCTAAATCCGAACGTCGGGGTCCGGTCTGGCAAAGCCATTTTATCGCGAAGAATTGGAAGTTTCTCAAGAAAGTCTCTAGTCTCAAGAAAGCGAAAAAAGCAACAAAACTTTCGGACAAATATAAGATATATATAAAATACACAATTTTGCAGCCAAATTTATTTACAAATAAACAACGCCATACCTAAATTTCTAATGACTGTACATATATATATATTCTTATGCCTCACAAATTTCCTTGAACTCTTTACCTGTCGTAAGTTTGAAAAACTTTCTTATCGCTACCTCTTTGCAAATACTGTCCAAATCGTATTGTTACGTTATTCTGACTGACAGTGGAAGTACTGAATTCACAGCTTGCTTCAACCTAAGATATAAATAATTCAAGATTACCACCTAAATCCAGCTTTAACAGAAGCGGCGATCGGTTGCGAACGACACGGTATAAACCACGATTTTTTGCGACTTTACGTCATAAATCTACCTTGACGTCATACGTGAAATACAGAATAATAACACAAACCCTAGTCCTGCCACAGCAAAAGCCTAAACGTCCGTACACGTTTCGCCTCGCGGTGAATAAGGCGACGTTCCACTGAGCGTAAATAGACACCTGTGGCCATACAGGCCGATAAAAACAACCCAGGCAGGTAGGAGAGAAAATAAAAATAAATTTGCGAGAGCGAAGAAAAATGGCAGTCTATGTCTTTCGGTGAGGTGTTTTGTGATCATATAGGAGACATATTCACACGAAACGCGCTTGCAAAAAATAATATACCATATAAAACCACATAGGCATAAAGATATTATGATGTATGAATGATATAACTCACTGTAACAGTGTAACTCGAGCTATCGACTTGAACAATTCAAAACCAAATGAGCAAACACAATAAAAATTTACTAGAGGAAATTTACCTCACCTGATCAAATCTTGCAACTGTTGCTTTATGCCCAAACGGGATCATGTAAACTGTATAAAGGAATGATCTTCTATTACGCATGGGATAAAATGATTAATTAATGACTCCGGTAGCCTATATTTAAGTGTTGTAAATCGATGTACTGTACATATTCTTGAATATAATTACCACGGAGCAATAATTATGAGGTTTTAAATTAGCTAGAAAACCCTTACCGAAGAGTTCAATATAGAATAGAATATGATTGCTCGAAATTCGATTGATTTAACCAGTTATGGAGGAAAATGGATTTTAGCTACTTAATAGTCAAAACTGATAGAAACAAAATGATAAGATCAAATTTGTATGGTAGATTTTATTTATAGAAAATATACAGCCTTTGACGTGTTATTCCTTGACAATGTTACCTAAGTAGGTTCGAGTCCGGAGAAATCAGTAAATTGTCCTACCCAATCCTACCCTTGCACACGATATGTAGAAATTCGAATATGCTGTGATAAAGAGTAAAAAGATTCTAATCTTATTGCCCGGTAATCACAAACTTCCAAGTGTTAGCCTGTACAGAGTATTTCTCGAAGACAGATGGACATAAAATGTGCCTTATATTTTAAAATCTTTAATTAGTATCCTGTGGACTTTCCAGGTCAAATATATTATAGAAATTTCATTGTTCCGATGTTCATATTGCCAAAACGCCCGATGTACCAGATCATAAAATTAGATTCAATTCAAAAATACGAAACATATCCTAATTTGGTGAATTTCACTCTCAAATGTCGCGCAATTGAATATCAATTATTCTATTGCATTGAATTAATTTGCAACATAACGTCATATATGTTTCTAAAGATGCTTACGAGTTGTCTGTCCTCGAGTAACGGTAACTCCAAGTGTGACAGAGCCCTGGGGATCAAGTATCTGTCAACCCTATATGTATTGGACTGTGGCAAAACCAATAACTAACGCTACATTATCTAATTGGCAAGAAGTCGGGTGGTAGGATTGTTTCAATATGACTCAGACACACATCTTTGATTGCGATCACATATCAGAAATATGTAAATGAATATATATATAAATTATTGTCATTTTATAATTGCACTCTGTCGATACTGTAGTTTAGCTGATCTAGAAACCCTTTTCGGTTTTCATTATTGGGCTCACAACTTCGTCCGTGTTTGGCCCAGTCATAGCCCATGTTCTCATAGTCAGGATGAAATCAATTTAGTAGATTGTGCCCAAATAAAACTGATGATTTGTCATTACCATACGATTAGCTAGATGCCTCCGTAGAATTCTGTTGGAGGGAAAATCAAAAGCAATAACCAACTGAAGGTGTTGATGACCAAGATAAATATAAAACAAAATCAACGCAATTTACGTAAATCATCGTAAACGTACGGAATTTACGTAAAAATTAGTTCTGTTAGGTTACTATTTCATTTATATGAAATTGTCTTAGCGTTGGTCAAAATTATACGAGGATTAAAATGCAGTAGTAACTAGTTACTCCGTTTAATCACCTTATTTATAAAAGACATGCAAGTCAATTAGTGATATTATGTTGAAATAAATATCACGATAGGAATATGTGCTAAATAGTTTTTGATAACGGACTCAACATTATTTGTACCTATAGGCATTCAATAACATTTAACCGACGAACTATATACCCAACCCTAATGATTAGACAACATTGCACACCCATAGTAAAACCGAAGATTATATGCATGACCATACCGCCACCTAGGAAATACTTTTATTTCTATATCATTGTAGATCCTTCAAATTAAGAAATAATTTTTATCGAAGAACTATGTATTAATATGATAGATATGAAAAATTTTATTGTTGCCCAGAAAATGAAATACATTCAAACACTCTTGAATGAGGACGTTAACCCAGTGTGGCAATTGATTGAGATGGAAGTGCTTGACCAATACTGTTTTCAAGCAATGCTTGAAGGAAAATTGAGCTCAAATTCGTATGTTGTGAAACATTTACCTTTAACATCCATACGAAATATATTAAAGAACTGGTATTTCTGTAAAAATGTGCTTTTTGATTGGAAAATGTCAAATTTTGATCAACCTATATGGTACAACAAAAGTATTTCTTATGCCAGAAAACAATTTTTTATCAAGTCTTGGTATGATCATGATATAAAAGCAGTAAGACACTTAGCAAATATGGGTAATCTGTTTACTTATAGAGAGTTGACTGAAAAATATAGCATGCAATATAGTGATGTAGACTTGTAGAGTATGTAAATTATTATCGCATCACTGGAGTTTTACCTGACGATTGGTTATGCAATATTGGAAACTGTATTGACTTTAGTGTATTAAGTGACCCCGAGAATAATGTATCTCATTTTATTTCTGAAACATTCGAATCAGAAAAAGTAAATAAAAGTATCTATGAAAGGTTGAATCTGATCAAATTTATATCCCCTGATAAATCAAGAAAAAAATGGGCAGATCTTATTTTTTTAGAGAGTGATTTTAATTGGAATAAATTGTATATGGATATCTTTTATTGTACTATTGAAACCAAATTGCAATCTTTTCATGTAAAAATGTTCCATGGTACCATAGTACTAAACGATAGATTGTATAAATTTAAACTTGTTTCATCAGAGTCATGTGATTTCTGTCATTCTAATGTTGAAACTACCAGCCACCTTTTCTATGAATGTATAGTTGTTCAACAGTTTTGGGAAACTCCAAACATCTGGATATACTCAGAAACAGGGATTAATTTTAACTTTTCAAAGAGAGATTGCATGTTGGGATATGTTTGTAATTTTTATAACAAATTGTGTAACTGTATACTTCTTGCTGCCCGGTTTTATCTATATCGTTGTAAAATACAGAAAAAGAAACCACTGTTTAATGTTTTTACCTCATATCTGCATGAAGTGAGGGAAATTGAACGGTTCATTGCATATAAAATGGCAAAATGAAGAAACATGATCAAAAATGGAAACTTTTAAAATACATTTACTGATTATTTCATATGATGAATTGTGTATTGTCCATGATTAGTGATTAATAATGTTGTAGATGTACCGATCAACTGTGTTTTATATATCAATAAATATATACAAAAAAAAAATATGTATTCTCTATTATTTTATCAATTAAGCGGAATATTTTTAGGTGCATATTCAAGAACACGCCAAATAAATAAACGAGAAGGGCCGCGGAATTTCTTGAGTGACCGGGGATCTTTACCATGGAACAACCTTTCCTAATTTATTGAACCCTCAGTTGGTGGTTGAGGTATTTGTAGCTTCAATTCGTCAATACCCAGTACACTGATCATATGTGTCATCATTTTACATGAAAAGTGAATGGAATACGATGTATACTAATATCGTCTTTATACAATTGGCTAACTTAACCGCTTATGGTCGGTTTCAAAACTCCAAATTTTCTGAGTCACCTGATTATGAAATAGCTTAAGACTTAAGTAATTATCACGTCAGACCTAATTATCTCGGTGTCGCCTGCTTGTGAGTAATGTTAAAAAACCCATACACTTAAGATAGCCTCACCCAGGGTGTAATATAAATTAGAATAGGTAATAGCGAAGCTATGCAGCCTCTTAGGATCTAATAGTTAGTTCTCTATATGTCAGTGACGGTTCGTTTAGAGCTCAGTTCGGCGCGGGGTTATAAAACACGCCCATAAAATAGTTCCATAGTATGATTTCAGACACTAAACATACTCAATACCATTATAATTCAGCTAACACATTTCATTATTTCAACATCATGCTTGTTTTATTTGTCATTTTGGCTCTTTCTAGCACGTGGGATCACTTCGCCCATGTTCATTTCATACTTGTTAGTCATCTGCACATAAACACCATATAATAATAATGGGATGATACAGTCGTTACAAGCTTCACGTAATGGCTTCCAAAATTAAAAGTCCCACAAACACATTGTTTACGGAGATTTGGCATCAGTCGTCGAAAGTCTTCTGTCGAAGGAGGAATTCCCTTCTACAAAGCTGTTTCGTGCAGTGTTGCCTAGCATCAATCGTCTCGATAGCCTCACCGACGAACTCAATTGAAGATTTTAAAGAGGCATACATCGCTTGCCCTAGTGCTAGTTGGTTTGCAGCCTTGGTTCAGGGAAACGCTTCCTATAACTTCTCATATATCGTAAATAACGGTAAAGGCTAGATAATTACAGCGATTTTACTCAGTTTCACAAGTATCAACTTGGACGGAGATTTGTACCTTCGTTTCATCCCAACATCGGGATATTTGCCACTATAACACATTCCAGTAAAATAACGAATTCTCTTCCATCACCGCAGTAATCAGATAAAAAGAATGCATACTTTTTAATAACCGTATTTTATTCCTCAAAATTCCTGATTTTCATGATTCATTAACCTACCAAGAAGAAATAAAAGAGCCTGTTTGGCCTACTTTCATCATATTTTCTCAGAAAAACTATTTTTAAAGAAATTTCTTCTAACAGCATCAACAAATGACAATTCAAAGCAATTTATGGAGATCAAAGAAAGCATATACGATGCAGCAACAGCAAATATCACCGATAACATTGATTCAGGTTCAGGTTCTTGTAGCACAAAAATTAACAACCATAAGTCTTTGAGTATTAGTGATCAGTCGAGTAATAATAGTGATGCCAAGTTCATTCAAAGGGATTCAAATAAAATGTAAAATTAATGACCAGGAGTTACATAATTTAGGCAATTATCTTCAGAAAGCAGACTATGCACAGAAGAGTTTATGTCTTGCAAATCTCATACACAAACTAAAAAATCTTCAGGAGAATCTTGGCTTCAAAGTGAAATGATTTTATAATGAAATTCACCCCAACATTTATGAATTTTGATTGCACATCGAGACAAAGATGTTCGAAACAACATTTGCTTCATTGAAATATTTTAAGACACTAATTTACATTGTCTAAAAAAAGTTGGAGATAACAATGATTATTATGTGCGAAGCAAAGATATCAAAAATCCTGTAATTTTCTTCACGATTTGATTAAAATATTTTGTCTACTCATTTTCATACTGAAAACACAATTTGGGTCAAATTTCATGCAGCAAAAAGTTTAAAGCCCACTCAAAATATATTGATTTGCTACAGAACTGTTTTTTTTAAGAATTTCCGAACAGTCAAAATGAAATACAATTTTAGAATGATGTAATTTTGGGATATGGACATCCCTGTATGTCATTTCAGTCATACTGATACTAGAAATGATAATTTTATAGAATATCTTCATTTCCTAAAAGGCAGCGTAAATAAAGCCTTCTATAACAGACCAACAGTGAAAGCATATTCTATTGACCAGAAAAAAAAATTCCAAAAATTGCACCAAATAAAATTTCCTTGAAAGCCAACTAAAAATCACATGTTTAATTTTGTCAATAAAAACTAAAAACTGGCTTCATTTAACTAAAAAAAAACAGAAACCTTAACTACACATCTCTATGTAATCACAGTTCATCTTTAACCCGATCCATGAGTGTATAACGGCGTTCACTCGGCATCAGATTCTTGAAAACTGATTTAGCAGTTGTGAGTTTTGGTTTATCTTTTGTTGCCTCCTTTTGTTGTTTCAAAAATTGATCTTGTGCTTGCTTCTCTATTTCATCAGGATCACGACCTTGCTTCCTGATATGTTCCTGATTAATAGAAGAAAAATTTCAAGAAAGTGCAAGCCTTGAGATATGAGAGAGGATTTAGTATATGTTTCCTATTAGAAATATCTGCATAATGTCCAAGATGATGAATTCTTTCATCAAATATGCAAAAAATTGACACTCCAGAGGTGTGTGTACCAATATAATATGGGGTAACTAATTTTGTTCGCCTACTTTACATCAAGATGTAAAATAGGACTAAAACTTATGGGCAATGGAGTCAGTGTTTTCACTAAGAAAATGCTACACTGAGCAAATGTTAGTTTTGATGAGCATGAATACCTTAAAGCTGAGCAGAGTCCTAAATGATTTACAAACCAAATAAAGTTTAGCAATAGTATAATATCTTATCAGAATGCGAACAAAGTTCACATTTAACTCAAAAACACGAAACGAGCATTCTAGCTAGGCGAAAATATAACAAGCCAGGCTCTGCAAACCTATGTTACAAGTGTGCGGGATTTGGATCTTACTGTGCAAGTGGCCTGGTGATACTGCGCAATGGCGCCCCTTAGAGAGAACCTTGCAGGGGGTATATTCACTTGTCTAACACAGACAGTCCCCGAATTCGTAATGGAAGGAAAATCAGAATAAAATTATGCCCTACACCTAACCTGGTACACACACTAGGGAAGTATCAAAAAATTTAAGTCACTAATTCACGAAAAAAATGGAAATCTGATGAAGGAAATAAACCGTTAACTGTACATCTTTAGGCAGTAGGTAGCAAGAATTATTCCTTCCACACAGAATTGCGGTCGCCTCTATCAATACATATATTGATACACTCTACACTTTTGTTCTCCTATTCTATGTGTAGAAGTCTGAAATATCTTTAAATTTCAAGAGTATGGAAATATTAAACCTACAATTCAGGTTTCGAAATGATCAAAAACCATGCTTCGACCTGAAATCCTTGTTGAAACCAGAATTAACAGGTAAATATAGAGTTTTTATAAGTATCTTACCTTAATTTCTGGTGTCAAAGAAGGTAGTGGAGGCTAAAAAACAATCATTACAGAAATTGTTATCAAAATTTTAGAATAAAAAAATAAATTAAATTTAGATTAGAAAAATTATATGACTCAATGAGAACATGCAAAATCAAAGAAATTAGAAACACCACCAACATTCTGATTAGACACCAAAATAAATTGTGAAATAACAAACATAAAATTCGCGAAAATAAAAAATAGGCTAGAGAGTGAATGAAGCTTTTAATAAGTTACTGGCAAATCATAAACAGAACAAAAATGGTAACGAACAGTCCCCCGAAGATCTAAAAAGGCCCAATATCTGGTTGTGAAATTTTGTGAAATTTTTTTTTAAGTCTGTAAAAAAAAACGTAAATAATTCATCAATTAAAATTGAGATCTTACCTATTACATGATGTATTATCAGAATTTTCCTTGTCGTCAGATGAATCCATTAATGAGAGCTAGAAAGTCAAACTTGCTAGACTTCATACTACACCTATATTTATACTAAATTTCTTATATTTTCCATTTTACTCAACTAAAATTTCACTCCATACGAATTTTATTTCCAAAGACTCAATTACACAATTAAACCCAGCATAAAGCTGGTACATAACAAATCACAAAAAAAAATTGAAGTTCAAATTTAAAATGACGAATCCATATCAATAATAATGATAATTTTCATGCTAATTCATAATAGCGAGATGTCTATATAACTAAATCTAGCATCCAAAATTTCTCCAATTATTAAATTCAAAGATGTAATATTTACGGAAATATTTAACTTGGGAACTTAAGCAATTGTGCCGTCACAATTCCAAATTGATAATTCGAAAATAATCGCAATTCTTCCCACCCATCACATACAGTTGCCCTTGCTATTTCGAAATAATCAAACATCCTCAAATAATTATAATTAGGTATTTTGCGTCCGTAAATTCACAAAAATGTTTAATATATTTGTCATTTTATGAGGACATAGTCATAAAATACACATATTCAAGGGTATGGTAATTCTAGCAAGGGAACAGCAAACAATTTATTATGAAAATTGGTTTTCCGTTTATGGTATGTCATAAAAACATCAAACAGAAAGTTATTGGAAATGAATAGGAACAAAATCTCCATTCAATAGTGTTAACCATCGAAAGTAAATTGTACTTTTCTTCGAATGACTCCAGTTTTGTTTCATTTATTTCAAGAATTAGCACTTCGATTACTTTCTTAGCATCAAGTATCAATGGCTATTCAAGCATGCTTAAGACATTGCTTCCTAGTACTTCTATTAAAGCGGTGTCATCAAAAATTGTTTTACAGGTTAACACAATTACAGGATGTGCCAGTTGCGGCCTGTTGCTACATAATAATAAATGCAAACGAACGATGTTTAGACATAACACAAAATAGCAGCTATGTATGCTTGATTTTTAATATAAATCGATAAATTTTCATTCTTTTTCAAACAACAAGAATTAACAGTGAGAGCTTTTGTCCTATGTGGCTCAAACAAAAATTAGAAATCAAAGACACTTGGAGAAGTTGTATCACAGACAGAGTAATTTAATGCCTAAATATGCTACAATGAAGTTAAATGGTTACAAATGATTAAAATCATTCTCTATATAAGTTTATATTTACTTAAACGCTTCATTATCTTTGTCTGTTGTTTTATTACCATAGACATTTCCACAAGATAAAAATACCTTACCACGATGGCAACAAAATATGACAAATTCAGCAAAAAAAACTAAGACCAGCTTCACGAAAAAATCAAATAAATATCCTAACAAAAAAAAATGTAACTTTAGCTCTAAAATCATTGCTATTTCAAGTGAATATTCCCATTTTCTGCATCAGAAGAATTTACTCTGTTTCAAACATTATGCACAATAAATATTCAATTACGCTTCTATATAAGGTATATAAAAGCACACTGGCGTAATTAAATAAGAAAAAAAAAAAAAATTTACTATTTTAGGATTATTTGTAAATTATTAATCCTTTTTTATCACTATCATTATCAATCTATGTTAGGCGCAAATTTCATTCGAATATAGTCAATCTATCATTATACCCAGTGGTAGGTTCAGGGGGTGTTAGACGACCAAGTAAATGGGTAACATGCACCACAGCTGAAGACTAGAGTAATAAATGGCATTTTGAAAGTTATGTGCTAGATTTATGTGAAGCGTGTCATGTTGATGTTAATTACGTAATGACATACATTTTCTAAAACAAGTTTAATAATACAAAAGAAATCCAGTTCTTAAAATTTTGCATCTCACAATCGATTTAAACATTAATTGAGATTTGAGTGAGTTCAAGCACTTCTTAATTTACAATTATAGTTTCAAATTTACTAAATTTTTTACGTCTGTAAAAAGTTTCGCATTATAATTCGTCCTTCGACCGTTTTAGGAGCGAATATCTATGTTCTGACGGTTCTAATTTTTTGAAGATGGATTCTGGTGGCGTAGTTTTTGGATCTTGTTTCTTCTTGTCTTCCTGTATCTTTTCAACAGTTCCGGGAGGTGTTTTCTTCTTTTTATATGTGAATTGTGTAAAAACGAAAAGTTGGCAAGTGAGGAAAGTGCAGACGTGAGTGACACCGAACATGCAATAAAAAGAAAAGCAGAAAAAGAACAATGAGAAAAGAGTTACGTGTTGTTGTTTTGTTGGTATGAAAAATAAAATTATCTGACACATTTGACAATAATAAAGCATGCGGTTATTCTTTTCTTCCTTCCTATTTTTTTATATAATGAAACTAACGAAAGCACACACAGTCACAACCCCCATACAAAATCATTTAACAGGTCATCAGGTCAAACGCTTTACAATACGAGTTCCACCGAGAGTATTAAACGAATAATTGAAAAAATATACTTGGTTACTTTGCTATAATGAATGAACTAACTTTTATAACTGTTTTTAAAGCATGTTCATCAACATTTTCCCGAAGAATTTTAAAAAATGTTAAGGAACATCATAAACGAGATATTTTTGTTGTAAAAAAGTCTCACGCCATAATTGGACCAACACCAACTTACTTAATGTATTTCCTACTAAGAGGTGGCATTCCATATTCAAAAACACATAATTAGGGGTTATATTATATTCAGAATATTCATATGAAGAAGTCACCTAGTACGCATCTGTATTATATTGACTTGCAAAAAACAGAGGCATATTTGATTTTACAATTTCAATTTGATGAAGATGATCTCAGAAAACACTGACACAAATTTTGATGTTTGTTTACATATTCGAAGAACTGTCATGATCAATCTTCAGTTTAGTTGATGTATAGGTTTAAACTGTGTTATTAAGGGAATTGCTTCAAAGCGATGGTGTCAAGCTAGTCGATAAAAAAAAGAATAAAACCAGGTCGAACCGAAATTCATTATATTAGATATAGTAAATTTTTTGAATAAAGGAATAATTTAAAACATTTTTATTTAAAAATTAGGGATTTGGAGCCGTCAGACAAGTAGATCAAAAAGGCAATATCTCAATTGGTAGCAAACAACACAGAGAAAACAAAAATCTTTTATATTTGTGTCATTTTAGATGTGATCAACATGAAGATATAGTGATTGATGTAATTTTCAACATAGACTTTCCTAAATTTAGAATGCATTCGATATTTCATATTCGGAAAATTTTTTATTCGGAAAATTTTTTTTTCGGAAAGTATTCGAAATAGTAAAATATTAGGTTTTGGCCATCTCTGATGTCAACTCATGTTTATTTAAAATTCTGCCTCTCAGCTGCCAACACATAAAACCCGAAAGCCTGAAGATGACGGTATGGACCTCAAGTGCAATTGTTGATAAAATTGGCGATATCTAAATATCTTTTTTTTTAACATTAGACCCTTTTTAAATATAAACAACCAATCATCCAACCATATCACCACCTGCACCTCTTTCACCAATTACTCTTAAACACCAATACACCAGTAACAACAAACCATTCCAAATGATTATAATATTGAACGCATACCGGAGGTGCATTTTCTTTTGCTGCGTTGTCAGCTTGATCAGGTCCATGATGAAATTCTCTGTGAAGTTTTCCGGAGTGTAGATCTTCCAAAAACGACTTTAGTTTTCCAGGAACACTGCAACCAAAAATAGAAATGTTTAAATGCTTGGACTAACCAGTGAGGAAGTGTGAGCCAGTCCCAAATTGAGTTTCTTATAAACTAGAGACATAAAAATTTATATATTGGTACTCCTGTAGTGTGGGAACTAAGATGGCGAACACCGGAACATAGTATAGTATGTGTACCGGTATCAGGTTAAGGTTGGGCCACAATTTTATTCCAATTTTCCTTATTTTAGTTCTATTACGAGTTTGGGGACTAGCCAAGTGACTCTCGCAGTATTTTTACCTGAAATTATGGCTTAACCCTAACCTGGTACACATACTACGTTCCGCTGTCCGCCATCTTGGTTCACATACTACGGGAGTAACTATATACAAAAGGGGGAATAAGCAACATATAAATAAGTATTGAATTTATGGTACAATTTCCCTTAGAACAGCGTTAGTACAACTTATGTCTAATTTTATAAGAAGAAATTCAGCATATATTATCCTGTATACACAAACCTAAATTCAGTTTTATATTTTAGAAAAGGTTAATAGATCAATTGTCAATAAATAAATTGTGATATTACATCGAAATAAAGTGGATTTGATTACTATGAAACAAATACGCAATAAACACCAAATTTGAAAGTCACCAACACACAATAGTAAGTAATCTTGGTTAAATAGAGTTTAATAGTAATAATTAATTAGTCAGCAGTACCTCAATAAAGAGTGATTACTGCCAGGGTGAATTCAATAAAAGTTAGCTGATCACATCAAAATGATATAACATAGCATTTAGCACTAGATGAAAATCTTGTTATGTTTTTAATATATATACCATAAATAGGTAGTAATAAAGTTTATTGCAATAAATTGGCATTGCCAGAAATAGGACTCCAGATTAGATATTTATTACATTGGATATGACGCAAACAAGAAATAACACATTCTTAATATATCAGCAAGTACGTAAAAATAATAAATGGCCATATGTGCATAAATGAAAATTGATTTTAAACCTTTCGTAATACTATAAATCTACAGATGTCCAAATGGTGATTTAAAAAAAAAAAAAAATTAAAACAATGATATAATATGTAATATGTATTCTACATGAACATGCAATTTCAAAATGGCATAGGCTTGTCAATATAGGACACAATGAATACTTTTAAAATACCTATTCAAGTATGCCCATTCTAAGTAACATCCTCTAATAATTTTATTAATCTACTTTGAACATGATCCAATTTTGTAACCAAACATAACTCTCGTAGGCTACCATGAATATTATGACATTGAAATGATGTATTATGAATCTACAGCCCACTCTACATATCATACCTTGTAAAAATAAGACAAGTCATCCACATTTAGATATTTAGATTTACATCATCCAGGAAAATCACTTAAATTGCCCCCTCTAACAGCCTTCATACAACACAACTACTCAATCAATAGCACAAATCATCGGCACACAACAAGGCTTTTTATACTTGAGAGTAGTTTGGCCACCAAAAGTTCTTTTTATTAATAAATTCAAAACTGGGGGGAGTTAACCAGGTAAAGTAAATAGGATTGCTAATAAAACAGTTGTGGACAAGTATTAGTGAATAAAGCTATTTATCAACTATTTAGATTCGGAGAGACATCAGTAATTATTGGCTGAAAAAAGACTATTTGACCAAATTAGCTGGCCCAGATTAAATAATAGACTGGCTTGCTTAAAAAAAAGCTCTCGTGTGCTTTACCAAAATTATTAGGCCATCGCAGTATACCGGTGAAAGTGTTGATAAATCTTGAACAGCACAAGAAATATTGTGCAGTTGCATTATGTACCATATAGGTAGTGATTTGTTTTTCTAAAGGAAATATAAAGCACACCTTCCTCTTTGTTGCGGAATTAGAAGGAAATTATGATTCACCCATAGAAAATTTGATTATATGTAAATCAAGTATGAAAATAGGTTGGTATGTTATTATATCTTACTGTAAGAGTCTATCTTAGATATGACATATTGAAGAAAAAGACTTGATAAGTCCCAGTTGTTTACAAATCGAAAATTACAGATATAGAAATTGAATAATATCACTTATAAAAAACTATTAGCATATAGAAGCTTTATGGTTTTTCAAGTAATTAACTATTCAAATATGATATCTTATTCCATTCGAAAATAAATTATTAGGTATAAATCAGACAACGAAAGTGGCTTGAAGTTCGATTTTTAGATAGGCTACCACAGTGATCACCAAAGTGTACGTCGCGACCCCAGGTGGGGTCGCCTTAAATATTTATGGGGTCGCAGAGTGTCCGGCGATGTTTTCTTCTGTTATTATTTTATTGTGTGTGTGATGTCTTGGATATTACCAAATTGTCAGTAGACAAAAATATTACAGTTTATTTCAAATAAAACGTCAGTATAACACGGTTTTACTATACATTTCACACGAATAATAAGCATGCAGACAAGGAGCAATTACGAGAAAGTAATTATGACATGTTGATCACAAATGGGTTCGTGTGGAAAAGAATGAGCTGATAAACAACAGTGTGCAGTCTACACTTCACTAGGCCGACTAGCGATATTCTGAATTAGAGTGATATTTCTATAATAAGGCTATTGTGTAACGACAATAATTTAAATTTTACAGTAAACAGTTGTTGTGTTTTCACTGTAATGGACTACGACCGTTGCGTTTGCTTTATTTTTTGCTAAGTTTAACCGAAATAAAGTGCCAACGTTAAATGCGCTGTTTGTCAAAAAGTTCTATCGATAAGAAGCTTAAGCTACATTATGCCACAATCTCAAAAGCTCTGCGAAGAGAAGCAATCGGTTAAATGTGTGGTCAGTTTTTATTGGTTTTATTTTTTTTTTCATTTCAATAAATATACTTTGGGGGCGCCAATGCTCATCATGCGTCATAATTTTTTGAAATGGGGTCACGTCTTGAAAAGTTTGAAGACCACTGGGCTACCAAACCATTAAAAGATAGAATTCATTGTTGTATGTTGCCTTGCTTGTGCCAAAGACTGAGTGTTCGAACACAGGTACTTCAAAGATTCCCATTAATGATACAAAGTAATATATAATATATTAGACAGAAATTCCAACACACAAAGCGAGAAACCATAAACATTCGAATGCCAGGTCCAGGACTCATTCACAAATCACAAGCAATCCTAAAAATAGTCGACAGGCACACAGCACGTTACAAAAGTATTCACGGTCAGACCAGAAAAATCTATCAAGACGCAAGTTGAATAATGATCATTCAGTGCATCAAACTTTCAAACTATACTATATATCAAATTATGGCTATCCATTCCACAATATTCTATATTTGCGATAGATATTTTCTATAGTATATGCCAGAGGTTTCAGTGGCTTCACAAGTTATGTCTAATACCAAGAAGAAAAAATTTGAGTATACTAAGCTTCAAAGACTATCGACGAAAATTTTGTATACAACATCAAGAAATATAGAAAGAATGTTCAATAGACTATAACTAGTATCAGTTGTGCTCACATTTGTTTTCTTTCACTTACGTCTAGTACCGGTACTCTTTTTAGCATTATCATATACAACATTCTGTACCACATATTACAGCACAAGACAGTCACACAGAAATTACAAGCAGACATATATAGATAAAATAACAAGACCTCCGAAGATGGGTATATTAGTATTTAAAAGAAGAAAATATTATGCAAAAAATGTCATCAAATCATTAGACTATAAAACCCATCATATCCACAGTAAGATTTGAATTTAAATTTCTGGGACTTTGACTATAAATGCCAGTGTTCTTCAATAATCTGTCATATTCAATCGAAGAAAAATGTAGAAATTCATCTTTAATTACACTCACCTCAAATCATTAAAATGTGGGAACAAGTACATGTGTTTGAACGAATCTATTGCGATGAGGGGGCAATCGGAAGTTGATTTTCCCAGATGGTGTAGAGGATGTGAAAATGTATCGCAATCTGCTTCAAGGAAGTTGACACGAGCTGTAGTAGAAAAATTTGTATATAATTAGTTATCAACTCAGCTAAATAGATTTACTGATACAAAGCACTGGAAACAGATAGAGCAAACTGGGCTGGGCATTGGGGCCTGGTTAAAATTAGGAGTTCAAATGTCATGCCCCCCCCCCCCCACCTTATCCATAGTGTAATAAGTTTGGTAAGCAATGCCGAATCGGGAAGATTCTGATTCTTAAAAACTATAGTACGTCCATATCCAGCTGTGGACTGTGTCTGCAGACCCTTATTCACAAAAAATATCAAAATTACTACAATTAGCAATGGCATCGTAGTATTTATTAAAAAATCACACCTAATTTTATTTTCTAGCAAGTTCGTTATAAATTCATCAATAGGAAATTCAGAATAAGATATAGGTTAGTCGCTCCGCTTAGAATATTAAAAATTTATTACATTAGGAAATTTAAGAAATATAAACACCAGGCATGACCGATTCACTAAGTTTATCCCGCAATTGACTTCAAATTAAAAAAAATTAAATTTTAAATTAGAAAAATTGAATTAAAAAATGAGATTGGGTACCGAATTTTTACGGAACATAAGTCGCACTGTCAATAAATTGCTTAGATCAGCTTTTTATTTATAGGCCTACATAAGGCGAATCAGGCTATAAGACGCAATAATTTTTAAAGCAATACTGGTACTGGTTTGGGTGTAAGCAATAAAGGTCAACAAGCTTATGAGGTACATGATCAATTTTTGAGGAAAAAAAAGATTGCAAAATGAAATAGTATGTTCCTTATTATTTATTAATAAAATAAAAACTAAACTATAACCTCCATTTTTGGAAATAACCATTTCAGTTTGAGTCATTTCATCAACCAAAATGGTACTTTATTTTATTGAGCCATTATGCCAGAGCGAGGTAATTCAAAGCTACTTCCTTGAACAGTTACCGCGTCAATTTTAATGAGTCACAAACTAGGAAGTACTATAGTATGACATGATACAATTTTCGTCAGATAACTAGTAGGCAGATCACATATTAAAATATGTTTATTGTTAACGCTATATTATAACGACAAAAAATAGTAATGCTTTTTCCTGATTTAAAAAATTTCCAACAAAATATTTTATGTGTAATAAATAATAAGTTGTGTTGTTTAAAAAGAATGTGATCAAATATAAACCGAAAAAGCTTATAATATCATGTAAATAAAAAGATCAATAAAACTGGTGATAAAATGATTAAGAATCATATTTAATAATCAATAAATGATATCTTTTACATATACTTTATTCAATGAAACGCCACTGTTACTGGTTGTAAAATTAAGATCTTAAAACCCCGTAATTAATGCCATAGGGTGTTATGAATATGATAACACATTATAGTTATAAATGACAGACAGTAAAATGCCTAAGGGCATAAAAGAAACTCTACCGCGTACTCAGTAGGTCTACTCGAGTAATCATAGAATAGGAGTTCTTGAAATAAATGTTTACAAATAAAAAAATCAATGCTTCAACAATAATAAGGGATTGGTGGGAACAAAACACTGCCAGAGGAAATTTCAATGGAAACTAATAATAACAATAGCCTACCTATGTTGAAATCAAACAAATGATTTTGAACATAAACAAATATAAATATTGAGCTTGCCAATCATGAACCAGAAATAAATCAAACAAAAATTTTACTGTAAATATAGTTCATACTTAATTGCAGATATAAAGCATTTCAATTTGTACAGTATTGAAAATATTTTGAAACATGGTACATAAATTTCCGTTAGAAATATTTTAAAAATCTTTTTTTTTTGGTCTGTAATATCAAAATTACAACTTTGTTAGAAATTCAAAACATAACCCACCACCGAATATATACTCTGTTGGAAAACAGCGTAATTGATAATAGATTCAGATCATAATATGTTCAAAATGAGTCAAATTTTATAATCATTTTGAAGTTATTACCATATATTCAATATTTCTAAGTTTCATTTTGAGCAATTGAAGTCTCACGGTATGATTTTTCAAAAATTATTGTATATCTCAATTCTCAACTTTTTCACAATTCCACAATCATTCCAATCATCACAATCATTCATTTTTGACAGCTCAGAAAATATAAATTACAAACACACAAGTAGAACACTTGTAACGCAAAATCTCATTATAACTAACCTTTCTCATGGATAAGGTTCCTCGATAAAACTTTTTTATAAAGTTCCAACGATTCTGTATCTTCTTTCTTGTGAAATAGAATGAGGAATGGTAAACCTTCTTCCGTTAACTCTTCACCATTTTGGAAAGTAATTTCCCGAACCTAAACAGATAAATCATCAGTTTATGAAGAAAAAATCAAATCAACTATTATTAAAATCTTTTTTGCAAATAGAACAGCAATTATGGCATATGTTTATTTTTCTATATTTATCACAGACAAAAATATTGCAGAAAATGTCAATCCATATTACAGAATGTCATATTTGTTCTCAAGCTGTATTGATTTTACTTTTTCATGTGTCCATTTACACAAACAAAAACAGTACATGCAAGGCATTCAACTGCGATGAAAATTTTTGGCCGTAAAGCAGAAGTTATCATATAAAAATACAACAGTGCCATTGCATATAACTTATAAGTTATTCATAAGTTAGATAGAAGTATTTCTTGTGAATCTAAAGCCTACAATACATATATATGAATGACGTTTATATTATTATTTACACAGATGCACATGTCTCACACCTGAGTTGGCAAATAGTTTAAGATCTATACTTTACCAAAGGTACACATTTATCCGTTGACCAGGCTTTTAGAAGATCGTGGTTGCTGAGTGATCCGAGATATACCATGTCAGGATCTCCCTTTAAAAACAAGATAGTACAGTTGTTAGACAATTTTTAAATGAACATACATATCTCTGACTCTACTTTAATAGTATATTAGAATACTACCTACCAGAAAATGTCGAAATTGTGTGAAATTTTTATAGAAAAAATTAAATATATCTCCTATTTTTACGTTAAAATGAGGCTATATTATGACAAATAATACTTGCAATATGAAAAGGAAAACCACTACTATGTGGTTGCATTGAATACAGCCAGTTAAATGCAAAAAAGTATACATATTTTGGCTCAAATCCACAAATTAGACAAGGATGTTTTCTATTTTTAGCACTAGCAGTATTCAATAGCATAAAAATTCCATGTACAGACCTATGGAGAATCAGAAATACTGTTATTTGGTCAAATTGAGACAAATTAAAGTAAAAATACATTTTCTTACCCCTGTTGGCCTGAAAATAATATTATCTCCAGATTGTCGTTCTTTACTAGATACGTCCCTGAAAATGGAAATTGAGATAATTAAAAATTCTTCATGCTAAAAATAAAAACATATTGCTCTAGAAATAAAAAAAATCCAATCTTTTAAAAATCATACCAGTTGAAAACATGAAGCATGATAAATGAGAGATTACTTTTAAATTTTAACGCAACTTACCAATACTAAGATTTTAGGAAAAAAGCTCACCCAATGGCAACGAAGAAATCACAATCTTCTTTTAGACTTTTTGCAATTTTCTCGAATGTTTCATAATCCTTAGAATCTTTACTTGAGAAATATCCAATAATTGACCTTTTTCTTGCCTAAAAAAAGAAATATATCAGTATTTAAAGTAAAATTCAGGAAATTCCATAAACAACTGTGACAGGTAAGAAATAATTTATGAAATTAAAATAGCATGGGTATTAATTTTTAAAATAACATCATTCTCCAAAATGAAATCGCAGCTGCTTCAAAAAATACTAACAAAACTACCATAGTTCTTATGGCATATCAAAAAATATAGGCCAGTATCTTTATCAGTTGACTATGATGAGAATAACATCATTTTTGTGAAAGTTAATCATGCAACAGCATATCGCCGAGTGAGAACAGAACAGGCCTAAGTCACAATTTTGAGTTTTGAGGAAAACGCAAAAAACAATTTGGAATCTTTTTATTTTTGAATTTCTAGATATTCACACTTAGTAAAGACCTGAGCTCTGGTTATTTTAATGTGGATGTGAATATCTTTGTAATCCATATTTTTTGGCACTTCAGCTTCAATTCCTTCCTGCTTTTTTAACCCCATAATGGACTTTGGCCCATTCTGTTCTCAACAACTTCTGAATTTTTTTGTATGGGATGCAAGGTAAAACAAGGTGACATAGGCCTAAGTTGCACTGAAGAAATTTTTAGGGATGTAAGTTTCGGACATTTCATTCATGATGTTCATTACCATCATGTTGGAACTTGGGACTAGCTTTTTTCAGTATTTTAGGGTTTTGAGCCATGCTCTACAAGGTGGTGGTCTTGAAATTCTGAATTTCATAATATTAAAAATTTTAGCTGGACTTAGGCCCATTCTGTTCTTAACTTTTACAGTCCTACTAAGTCCAGCTAAAATTTTTATTATTGAGAAATTCAGGATTTCAAGACCACCACCTTGTAGAGCATGGCTCAAAACCCCAAAATATTGAAAAAAAGTGAATTTTGCAAAAATGTGACTTAGGCCCCTTCTGTTCTCATCCGGCGATATATGTATTGTATTTTTATGTATGCTTCAACTGTTCGTGTTATCCATTATGATAACTTCAACATATTACCGAAAGTATCAAGCCAAACAACAAGCTATGTTTTCGTATCAAAAGCTTGAAAACTATATATTACTCAATTATAATACAGGTGATTATTCAAAGCATTCAGAGCGTTATAAAAAAGAAAAGTTTAAAAAACGAAAGAAACAAGTCAGTATGTCACAAGCTTTAATTTAGATCTGAGTATGACGAAATGAATAAATTAATGTTAATCAAAACGAATTAAATTTTTAATGGAATCGAACCTCAAAATCATCCATCTCTTCTTCAGTTGCAAAATGATGAATCGGATCTTTCATTTGTTCTTTTAAAAAATTCACAAGTGCGTCAGCTGATCTTTGACCTCTATATTCTCTTTTGGTCATCTGACCGTTTCGAAAAAGTTTCATGGTTGGATATTTATTGACGCTGAACCTTTGCGCAATATCAGCTGCAAATACAAATATAGTACTAAATAAAGGATTGAAGTTATTAAAGAAACTTACCATATGTGCTACATGGTGGAAACAGCAATTCAAATTTGTAGTCAAGTTAACAAAAAATACACTTAATTTCATTTATTCTCATTAATTTTATATACCAGTATAACTGTATAAGATATATCAGGGCAGCCAAAAAATTGAGCATTTCGGCGAATACAATACAATATCAACAATTTTGAAATATCACATTGTTGGTATTTAGGCAAAATGCTATAACAAAAACAGACTTAAAAACCAGGTTCAAACTGAATTGAAAATTTGTGAATGTGAATTTAGCAGACAGACCAAAAAAAGTTCATGTAAGTCTCTATGACTTTAATAAATGGAAACCCGATGATATATGATTGTATTACCGGTAACTATTTCACATTTTCAATTTCTCAATTTGCATCTTTAACCATATAAGAATTTGTGATCTCGTATGTTAAGCGTAACTTTGAATTTAACCAGACAAACGTAGTATAATCAAATTAATTTTGCATAATTTGTTAGGAATAGCAAATTATTATTTTGGTTTCGATTTAGCTTCAAGTTGTATTAGATCTGAAATTACGTTTCTTATTCTTTCACTAAGGACATGTACTGCAGACTGCAGTATTCTCCGATCAGAAGTTATATAAAAAATAAAAAATTCTCATATTCACTCACGATTTTTGTCGCAATCGACTCTTCCCAAAGCTACGAGTCCAGTTTGTGGAAATTTTTTAATCGCTTCATCAGATGCAGCTTTAAATATCGGAGCAAGCATTCGACTGAATCGGCACCAGTCGGCATAAAAATTTATAAATACAAGTTCATGGCTATCTGTAAACATAGATTAAAAAAAGTTGAAAAAAATATAATATTCTGAATGAGAGTTTAATGTTGGCTGTTGGGTTGGTTCGACTGGACTGAATATTCAAAGAAAGTTGGAAGTAACTATAGGCCTATTCAGTATTTAAAATTCTTGATTTTTTTAATTTAGAATATTTTCCTTTTATTAAGTAACTGAAGTCTCGAAAACTGTTAAAAATACAGAATCAATCAAATCACTGTTCATCTTAACTTGAATCTTATATTTCCAATGCGAAATTGATTAAATAAACACTGGTCCTTATTATAGCCTAAGTTATCTATTGAACATGATTTATTTCAGAATATATTCAATCTTCGGAAATTTGATTCAAAAGGTTTTTGGAATATTAGATTATTCAGTATCGGCTATCCCTGTAGGTTTACCATCATCTAAATGGAAAGTTGGGTGATTTTTACAAAACTAGCTGTTATTAATCAACAATGATAAATACTGATGGTCACTGTTGGAGTTTAGACAAAATGATTAATTTCAGAAAATGTCTTTTTTAAACAAAAAATTAGATTTCACTCCAGTCAATTTGAATATAAGTTGAATATTATTTCTTGTTATTACCAATTGTCATTTGTAATACTTTTCAGGAATGCTAAAAAACTATAATACTGGAAGTACAGGATATCAAATAGGGTCATTTCAGAGAATGTAATGAGCTTATTTCTAAGAACAAAGACACATTCTTAGAACATTTTCATGTGAAATTCATTCTTTGATTAATATCACAATAAGAGTATGTTACTCACTCAAAACTGTTTCAATATTATTGCTATCAATATCAACAAGTTCTCCATTTGTTGAAGAGAAAAATACCTGCAAACAAAATATATTACGGTATATAGATTAAAATTAGTGTTAAATTTATGTTATATACAGTTATTTTTATTAAACAATAATTACTGTACCTAATTTTTTCTATATTGCATACCCATAAACACAAACATTGTACTTACGAAAATTTCAAGACATCAACAATTTTTGTAAACATATTCGTTTGCCAAAATTGCCATACTTTTAAAATTAAAAATGAACTTTCGATATACTTACATACCGAAAAAATATTCCTAAATCATGAAGACTGGAAGAGGGAAGAAGAACATGTGATAGATATATATATATATAATTGATAAAACAAAACAAAAAGTCAAAACAAGTCTTACCAAAATGCATAGAAAATTTAATAAATTCTTCATTTTTCAATATAACAGTTAACTATCAGCCACGAAATATTTTCCAACCAGCCGCTATCGCCAGAAAATGAATAACTTATTTGTCTTTCTGGATATTGTTGATTCGAAGTTATTCCAGCATAATCTTTCGTACACTAAAATACCTAATACAGCACAGTACAGTGAAGCATATAGCTATACTTGTCACCTAGTCTACTGGTTTTCTATAGAAGAATAACGAATATTGAAATTCAAATTGTACAATACAGCAATATCAGAACAAAGTTTGATGTCTTTTTTATGATTTAATCTTTTTAGTGTGGTACAATTCCCAGACGTCCCAATATATGGACCAATGAAACATAAACCAATAGTTGCAAAAACCAGGGTTTCTGACATGACCGTAGATCTGTAGATGCATAAGAACACATCATGTTTGTCCAGATAATAATAGCCTACCTCCCGTCGACGTTATTTTGCTGAATGCTTACCTAATGGAACTAAACTCTCGTAAAAAAGAAGTCTCTATTCGGTCTTACTACTTACTGAATACAGCGCGAAACAGCGCAAAACAGAGGGAAACAGTGCAAAACAGAGGGAAACAGTGTGAAGCAGAAAAAAATTCTGCAATGAGTTCGGGGCACCTTGTTTTGAGTTGGATTACCACGGCAGCAAATTAAAAACACAAACCAACGTATGTAGCCAGTAATGCTGTAATGGCAGGTCTGCCCCTGCTGGTGACACATTTTGGGTACCATAATTTAGAACATTTTCCATATGGATATGGTTGGCTTTAGGGTTAGGGTTAGGTAAAAAGGGACCTCCAGAAGTATGCGCACCAAGATGGCGCACAACCTGAAAATAGTATGTGTGTGTGTAGCGGATTCAGGTTGTGCGACATATTGCTGCACATACTTCTGGAGCACCAAAAAGGTAGATAAAATTTCGCACGATGACCTATAATACGGTACATAACCTTGTAAATATGCCGGAAATTTGCGCTGTTTCCTTCTGTTTCGCGCTGTTTTCTTCTCTTTTGCGCTGTTTCGCGCTCTTTGCGGTGTTTCGCGCTGTATTCAGTAAGTAGTAAGACCCGTCTCTATTCACTGTTATTATAGTATTATTGATGTCTTTAAATATGGCGACTGTGCTGTATGGTACTATCTTCTCCTAATTTTAGAATGCCAAAATGCAGAAATGTGGGGTTTCATGTAATTTCTTACCTAACATACCTACTTCTAGTCGGCGTAGCATGACAATTCTTTCAAGTATCAATCCCAACCCCCACCTGACTACACCATCCAAAAATTACGTCATTTTGACGTCACAGTGACGTAATAGAGCCTTTCAAACTATACAAACTGCCATCCAAGACGCGCAAACGAGCACCCAAAATCGAACAGTTATTTCTCTCATTGCTCGTCGCAACGATTCCAATAGGAGAGAGACCAATAACGTCAGTTCTTTATCGTCGCCACCAATGCCATTTCGGTCGATTGTGCGTATATTTGGCAAGCTCTGTGATTGTGATGTCGAAATGATTTAATTTTTGAATGGCGTAATCAGATGGGGGTTAGGATTGACATATCAAAAAATTGTTACGCTTCGCCTACAACGTACAAGTACGTCAGGTACGGTACGAAACTACACGAGACCCCAAAGTTTGATGTCTTATTCATGACTTAATTTTTTTAGTGTGGTACAATTCCCAGACGTCCCAATATATGGACCAATGAAACATAAACCAATAGCCTAGTTGCAGAAACGAGGGTATCTGACACGATCGTAGATGCCTAAGAACACACCATGTTTGTCAAGATAATAATAACCTACCTCCCGCCGACGTTATTTCTGTATTTTGCTGAATGCTTAACTAATGGAACTAAACTCTCGTAAAAGAGAAGTTTCCATTCACTGTTATTACAGTATTATTGATGTCTTTAAATACGGTACCGTATGGCGACAGTGCTGTAATATCTTCTCCAAATGTCAGAATGTAGGAATGCCAAAATGTGGGGAAATCATCAATCTGCACATACTGCTGTATGTCAGGAGCAATACGGCACTACAATAACAGGTATTGAAACGAATATAAATAATGGTATACCAGTACCGGTACATATAATTCGCCCGCATTATAACTCAAGTAACTTCCTTTACTGAAGTTACTGAGATAAACTTGAAAATCCCATCCACATTTCTGCATTTTGTAAGCCTAAAAAACCGTTTTCATGCTCCAATGAATTCTGCCTTCCGCCTATGAATAGCCAGTTAAAAGTCGCGACGTTGGAGGTCAAACGATGTTCATAAAGCTTAAGTCGAGAGTTGGGATGCTGAGACAATATTGAAAATTTCGGTATCGGTATTTTCACGCAGGAATTCAGTATTATTAAAAGTTGAGTACACACATCATCTTAAAATGCAACAGGCGCAAACATGTTCTATTTTCTTCTTTCCTGTTTCTTGGAATATTAACGAATATGCATCATTTATGCATGCATTTTTTTGTTCTGGTTTGTACATTTGATAAATTATTGGTGAATGGTGATATTTTTATGTATTTGAAAGCAAGATGTTTCCTACAGCTATTTACTTATTGAGCAATACACAATCTAGAATTCCAGACCTAGAGTTAAATATTTAAAATCAACTTCATTTATATATAAATGAATGATTACCATAATTGGACGGAAGAGGTCGTCAGAAGTCTATTACATTTTATTTATCTACCTAAATTTTGTTATATTTTGGGTAAGTTGTCTACAGATCCCTTAAAAAGCATTGCCCGATTCTGAATCGTGTTTTTGGACACGTAGTGGACATAACGATCGTTTCAATATTATGTTGTTGTTGTTCTTGTTGTTGTTCTTGTTCTTTGACACGTTTTTAAAAAGTCGCTTTTCTCTTCGAATACTGGACCAATTGCTTTGAAATTTTCAGTGGTTGAAGATTAATTTTTTCGCTAGAAGGCTATTACTTTTGTTTATTCTTAAATTTTATATGAATCCTATGAGATATGATATTTCATACAAAATTTCGCGGTATTTATTTTTACTCATGGGAACACTGTTTTACACTTATTTCAAGCGGTTTCGCGATCGATTGTCTTGCTCAGTACTACAGCTACTGTAGGTCGGTACTGGTAAGTTGCCATACCGGTGCCGTAACGCAGTGAAATTGACTTATTCCTTCCGCGGTATTACTAATGCTGCAATGCAAGTTTTATAGCCTATCGTATGCGGAACGGAATATCAGACCTACAGGTTCGGTACCGGTACTGGTAGCTCAGTACGTAAGTACGATACTGGTACTGGTGCCGGTACCAGTGTCTTACCACAATGAAATTACCGTAACTTATTCTTTCACGGTCCTACCAGTGCAGTAATGCAAGCGTTGTAGCACTTGTAGCCTACTATATTTGTTTATTTTGATGAGAGTCTACTGGAAACAACATCAAATTTGAAAGGGAAGAATTGTTCTGTGATCAATTATCTGTCCTAAAGTGTAAATAACATAAAATTTGCAAGGGAGCAACTGTTCTGTGATCAATTACCGTATATGGCCTACAGTGTACAGGTAAGATGCTGGCTGACTGCTAACCGGTACTGGTAGCTCAGTACGTAAGTACGATACTGGTACTGGTGCCGGTACCGGTGTCTTACCACAATGAAATTACCGTAACTTATTCTTTCACGGTCCTACCAGTGCAGTAATGCAAGCGTTGTAGCACTTGTAGCCTACTATATTTGTTTATTTTGATGAGAGTCTACTGGAAACAACATAAAATTTGAAAGGGAAGAATTGTTCTGTGATCAATTATCTGTCCTAAAGTGTAAACAACATAAAAATTGCAAGGGAACAACTGTTCTGTGATCAATTACCGTATATGGCCTACAGTGTACAGGTAAGATGCTGCCTGACTGCTAACTCAGTACCGCTTGACACGTTTTTAAAAAGTCGCTTTTCTCTTCGAATACTGGACCAATTGCTTTGAAATTTTTAGTGGTTAAAGATAAAAATTTTCTCCAGAAGGCTATTACTTATTTTTTCGCTATGACGTCATCAAAATTATGTGACTCTACGTGTTCATATATTTGAGCATAGCTCTCTTGTTTGTAGTCTTGTAGTAATATTTTTTATTTTTTTTGGTGGGTGGGCGCGTACTTTTACGTTTTTTAACTTTATTTTAAGTCATGCTCGCCTTCCAGGTATCTCTGCATTTTGTTTGTTTGTCCAGTTTTTGTGTTGTTTTGTTTTTATGTCAGAGTACCGAAATAAATGATTGATTGATTGCTCTTATCATCAAGGCTCCTTCCTATTTTGTTTGTAAAGTATCAAAGAAGTAAAAAAGCACGGGCAACATGAACAATGGTAAATGAATCATGATGGCAAGCGTGTGCGATGTGGTGTTATATATATATTTTGGTGTGGTGTGGCCAATCTATGTCCACCCCCCCTCTCTCCTATTTGGGGTCTTGTTTCTTATTCAATGGTTTGCCATGTTTGGTTATGACTATTTTTTATGATGTAGTATCCGTAACCTATCGATAGAATCACGTTACAAATGACTAGCAAAACCAGAAAACGAGCGAATATTTGCAACCATGCCCGAAAATCTGATCTATTTGAGTGAAAGAATTGTTATTGAATGGCAACGTCAGCTCTAATATTTTGCTGATTATCCAGTGTTACTGGAATAAGAATAGAAGCTGATGCTCGTGAAAACATTAATTTCGACATTTCTTCGGGACATATTCAATGAAATAAAACACACATAATCATGGATATGAAGACAATCACCAACTTTCATGACCTTTGACCGATGCTGCCAGCTCCGTTTTTTGTGCTGTTTAGGGGGACACTCGTTGCGTAGCACGTTTCGTCAGGTTTATACTTGTGCGTTGCTTTGACTTGTTTAAATATATCGCTGTGTGTTAGCGTTTTTTCAACAGTCTTTTTCTCATTTATAGGTTGAATACAGACTAGCTTGTATATCTGTTATGCATTTGAGGATTATTTTATTAGAATTATGTACTTCCCTTCATTCAAAAAAAGCTGAAGCCCAGGCACTTACTAAAATTCTTGATCCTGAATACCTAAACCAAATGTTTCTTGAGTCAGCCAATACTGACAATGATGAATTCAACAACATAAACAGTGTTTTCATGTACAACAGCTCAAATCAGTATATTTGCTCTAGTGACCAGGACCAACCAGGATAACTTCAAGTTCTGCTACCTGTATAGACCACATTTGGACAAACGTATATGATAAAAAAGTTAATAGTGCTGTTTTAGCAGAATGTGTTTCTGATCATCTGCCAATTGTACAATGCTCTCTTCTAGAAAAGCAAATTCAGAACAGAATTGAAACGCTTTACCGCCAGTTTACTTCGTCCAACTTGAATACATTTATGAACGAACTGAATTCTATTGATATTGATGACTTCAGCAGCATCCAGGATCCCAATTCCCAACACTTGCTTTGAAATTTTTTTTGAATAATTCTCTACTGCTTACTCTCAATCTTTTCCTTACAAAAAACAAACAAACAGATCAAACAAACCTTGGTATGATACTGAGTTACGCAAACTCAACAAAGTCAAACAAAAACTTTATAAGAAATTAATATACAATAAAAACATAAATGACAAGCACAAATTACAGTTCGATGAATGCAGGAACCTTTATACTCGATTGCTCTACAAAATGAAATCAAATTATTACAAATCTAAATTTGCCTCTCACAAAGGCAACATCAAGGCAGTGTGGAAAACAATTAATGAACTTATTGGTAAAAATAAAACAGGTTCTTGTCCTTTGATTGGACTCAATTGCAGTAATACACAAATTGCAAATAACATTAATGAACACTTTTCCCAAGTGGCACAAAGCCTGCTCGACTGTATGCCACAACCAGCTGGCTGTGACAAAAATCACATTTCATATCTTGGGAAGCAAGAATCCTCATCCATGTTTTTACGGCCAACTACATCATTAGAAATAAATTTAAATGAACACTTTTCCCAAGTGGCACAAAGCCTGCTCGACTGTATGCCACAACCAGCTGGCTGTGACAAAAATCACATTTCATATCTTGGGAAGCAAGAATCCTCATCCATGTTTTTACGGCCAACTACATCATTAGAAATAAAAAATATTATACGCAAAATGAAGCCCAAGTCAAGTTTTGGAATCGATGGTATTCCTTTTAAAGTATTGAAACATGTTTCAGAACATATCATTGATATCCTGACATATATATTTAATCTTTCACTATCTAGTGCAGGGGTCGGGAACCTTTTTGGTCAAGAGAGCCATAAAATATACATATTTTCAATTGCATTTCCGTGCGAGCCATATAACATTTCTTCACTTAATCAGGCCTGAAATGTTCACTCAAAAGTCAACACATACAATGTCAATATACATTTAATGTGATTTCTGATGCTGCATGTAGTCGCTGCGGGCCTTGAACGGTTGCTCACATGCAGCCCAAGTTGAAATCTACGATACTCATCACCCTTTTTCGTTTAGGCATCTCCGTAGTGTTTTTGAAACTCTATCGCTCTGTGATGTCACAATATATGTTCCAGAATCCCCTTTTTTGTCACAATGCCTGTCTGGTAATTATCTTACATAACATAGACGTGTGCTAGACGCGCGTTCTCAAACGTATTGGGAATTTCCTGCCAAATTTGGCTATAAAAGAGTTTGAAATCCCGTAACAATAGTAAGCTTAGTCTTGGGATATTAGATTTTTCTGAGAGCCATATGCCGTCACCAGAAGAGCCATATATGGCTCGCGAGCCATGGGTTCCCGACCCCTGATCTAGTGGATTATTCATTGAAAGCTTCAAGGCATCTAAAGTTCTTCCTCTATTTAAAAAGGGTAGTGTTTCAGATCTTGGAAATTATAGACCTATTAGTCTTTTACCATCATTTTCTGAGATTCTTGAAACAATAATGTATAGTAGCATGTCTAACTTCTTTGAAACTAACAATGTTTTCCACTCTCATCAATTTGGTTTCCGCAAGCATCACTCCACTGCTATGGCTGCTAATGTTTTGGTACATAAACTGACCAAGGCCTTTGAAGGCAAACAACATGCAATTGGAATATTTCTTGATATTTCAAAAGCTTTCGACACCATTGACCATTCCATCCTTTTAAGTAAGCTCTATCACTTAAATTGCTCTGTTTTTAAACTGCGACTAAATCCGTTTCTGTATTGTATAGGCTGTGCCTTGAATTTGTGTATTATTTCCTGCATGACGAAATGAACGAAGATAAAAAAAAATTAATCACTGAATTTTCCCGCCTTATGTTTTTTTTCTCTCTCCCAAATGCTACCGTATATGAATATTTATATCACTCCCTGTTTTGTTGGTAATTTTTTGAATGACTAAGTTTCTCTTTGTATCCATTGCTTTCTTTAATTGCAATTTTTACTTTTGACTCGTCTTAAATCTAGGTGTCGCTGACTTATGATGACCATTTCTGGTCCTTCTCGATTTCCTGTCAATTGCAATGAAATCTGTTACTGTAATGCATAATTTTTTATCTGTTGTGAACTTGTGTTGTGATTTCTGGCACGACGAAACAAACGTATTGTCTATTGTCATAGTTCATGTTTTTAATGTAAATAATATATAGGTTCAGATTCTAGTATATAAAATCAAAAAGGCAACGAACATTATATATGTTAAACAGTAATGTCATATCGGTGTTTGAAACTTTGTGTCATTTCACCTTGTATCGAAATATATACTATAATATAGGCTATGATTGTTTAGAATCAACATGTTTTGTTATTTCATGATTGGAGTATTTAGGCCCAATGCTATATTTTAAAGGTTTCCGATTACAACTTATATTCACCTTATGTAGTCAAGTCAGCAACACCAAACAGACGTCTTTCAGCCTGTGATTTCGCTCCACAAATTTGCCATCAAGTTACAATTTCTTCTAATTTAGGTATGGACTATCATTTTAAAGGACTTATATTACAATAATTTTCATAATTCGGACAAGGTTTTATTTTCGGGGAAACGCGGTAGTAAGCAGTGGCATTGACACAACTTGAAGAACTGTATGGAAGGTACCGGACTTCAGTGCTGCCAGGTACTGCAGTACTGGTAGCCGGACATCCTATCTAATATAGTCAGCATAGTATATATAGTACGGTACCGTATTTTATACCTTCGAAAAAGATATTACGAGTTCCACCTGATCCAGTACACTCCAGGTGCAACATTGGCCCTCAACCAAGCAACAGCTCAAACTCGCGAATGAAAAGCGAAACCGCCGCGTCCCCCAAGAGTGAGGTAAAAACAGTGTCTGGCAGCACCCGTCACGCTCCGATGGTTCGTATGAAAGTCCGTAATTTCCATCTGACTTCCATTATCGAACAGCTCAGAAAAATGACTCACTCCAAAAAAAAATCAACGCTGTCTTTTCTGGAGTTTGTACAATGTTTAAATAAATATTCCGACTTGAAGATTAAAAACAATTTGATTCCTAAAATGGGCAAACGCCGGTCCATTGATCGCCTTGATTGCTTTTGAAAATATAATAATATAAACATAATGAAACAGTGATTCAGATATCAAGTTATATTTTGCAGTGGCCTTAATAATGTAATGTCACGGTTTATTTTGAAAACAATTTGAAGGTCTACTGAATTTCTTATTTTATGAAAATAATTGATCTTAAATATCTTCGCTTATTTGACGCATTTGTCACGTATCTTGAAGTTTTCGTTTTGAAAGAAGTTTGTTTTTATCTAATATTGATTTTATATCGATACAGTATGCAAACATTAACGCCCGAGAGAATTTTCAATAAATCAAATCACTCTGTGCACAGGAACACAGTCGAACGCATCAGTTGTGACCGACTTCTAAAATCAGGATGGAACTTACAAAATTACTATTTTGTCTTTTCTCCTTATGGATATTCACTGATTGCTATGCATCTGTTGACGATGAAAAATGTGGCATGACTCCGAGAGCAGATATAGATTGGAAAAAGGTGTGTTCCCTTTTGCATTTAACATGGGCCAATTTCGTACAATATATTTTGCCAAATATATCAGCGAACCGTTTCCATCTATTCCAGCGTATCGAAAAATGTTTTTTTTAATATCTGTTGGAACAAGCTTTCTTCAATGCGTTATGACTTTATTTTGTTTGTTGTGTACTTAAGGTTCCTACCTTCTGGTATCTGTCATATTACTCTCCGAATCCCATATTTTCTGAAGTCGTTTCGTGTCAAGCTTCTTATCTTTACAAAATTGTTGACGAAGGACCCGAAAGTTACGCTGTCTTTCATGGAAAAGATTATTACTATAATGGGTAAGATCTATAAATTCTGATTTTTAGTGAACTCTTATATATATATATATATATATATATGCTTTCACACTATTTAGCCACACGATTATACTTTCTAAAGTAGCCCAGGATAATCAATTAACCTTGAATATTGGACAATCAAAAAAACTATCATAGTAAAGAAAACCTGACAACGGTGATTTCGTGGAAATGTTATTTAGTACGGGGCAGCTAAAGTCGAAATGAAATAGTCTATTTTAAATTCGGAGATGTGGACCGGAACTCTACTTTTATGTCAATTTGCGGGCAAAATTTGGGATAGGATTTTCTAAATGATCGTATCTGTGAGTCTGGATAGGGAAATGTTTGCAGGTCCACAGTCCTATATTAGGTTTCACAATTGTTATTAGATATGCCCGATGAAACAATGTATAGAACCTGGATCATTCAGGCACTAAACAGAAAGATGAAACGCCTAATTTAAATCTAGTTATTGTGAGTGAGTTATTTTAATGATCCTCATCCACAAAAAAAGCAAACCGAGACAAAATTAAACAAACAATTGTAGATATGTACAACATTGTTTCATACAGTTGTTATAACTACGCCCATTCAACAACATTGTGTTCATTTAGTAATACTCCAGAACAGTACGAACTTTCATTCAAGCATGCCGGTCAAGGACCAGGCCTTTATTATTGGACCTCGGGTAAGACATACCTATATAAAATTAACTTCAATCAATTTTTTTATAATCTTGTTCAAAACCGAATTTTTGTTTCACAATATGTATACTCATATGAAAAATTGCGGCGTAGTTATTGTCAGTATACAGACAATAATATTTAAATTTATTCTTTGCACAGCAAACAATAGCATTGTGGACGCAGGATCAAAGGTATCCTCTACTAGGTCGTACAACAAAGAACGTACCGAGCGTAAGTCATTCATTATGATCCTACGGTAATGGTCTTTTAAAACGGCTGCCTTCTCTTTCCAGAACGCTTCAAGTTGTTGCAACAATTGTTTGAATGTTAGAAGACTGTTCCAAAAAACTTCTGCTTCAGCATTCTTCCGCACCAATCTGTTTCACTTACAGTTCGTAATCGAATTGTCTCAAGTTAAATGTTGTTTTCTGGCATGTAGCCTATTATGGCGCAGCTACACTTCCACATCACCGCCTGTACTATAAGGCATTTAGTGCTTGCCTTTGCATCCTTGTTTGGAAAAAAATTGCAATAGCGAATAAGCTATATATACCTATATTTAGTAATATGCCTGCTGAACTGTTGTACTAAATTTTTGACTTTTTATCAAATTAAAAACGGACGAGTGTACTTAATTTCAGTCGAAGAAATGGAGATGCAAATAGCAGTAGACGTAATGGCAACGGATTATTCTACCTATTTAATCGATATCTCTTGCAATAAACATACGGGAGGTTTGTGAATTTTACCATCAATTATGTTTACACAAATCAAACCAATTTAATATGCATTACAACGTTTTTATAAAAATGAAGGCATTTTAAAAATACTACAATTCATTTAAGAAATTTGTGCTATTAGATGCCGTATAGTTATTGACAATTGAGTTTTTTATTATGCAGAAAAACAAATAGTTCTTGTATTCACAACGAATCCCGATCCAACGGCAGAGGAATTTCTGAATGTTCGCCGAGCCTTGATTGACCTCAATGTGACTGAAACTCTGGCTGCAACCCAATGTGCTTCTTCACCAGCAATAGCTGACTTCGCCAAATTGAAAATGTAGCATACATTTCGAAATACTCAGTTTAATAATACAAAAAGGTAAGCTGTAGTTTTCACAGTCGTGTTTTCCATACACAGTAATAATAAATTTGGTAAGGCAAGGCTGACAATGGTTAAGAATTAACCCAAAACACCCGGTGAATATATCGTCCGTTTGGGCATGAAAATACTGCTGATGGCCTAAAGTTGTGTAGTGAGTTATATATATGTCCATTTGATTAAAATCTGATTCCGCTATTTTTATCATTATTTTGCAGAAACATGATCAATTGCTACCCAAGAGACTGAAAGATATATATATATATATATATACTCATCAGCAACAAGATTTTTCGGAATATTACAGGATTTGGTTAATTAAAAGTTCATTTTTAAATATATTTTAAATCTGCAACTTTTGACAAAGTGAAATTGTGGTGCAATGGTGCAGTGTACAGGGCTTCTCGACTATTTTCTTTATCAAAAATCCGTGAACAAAACTTAAAAATGGCTGGGGCCCGGTAGTTTTAGAAAATATATTTGATATGCAAACAGAACTTCAAATGCAGTATGAAACCAAATACACGAACGATGCTCAATTATGTGGTTACGAATGTTGCGCATGGGTATACCGGCACCTCAAGACCTTAGTTTTCTAGCTTTGCGTCGAATTTGCTAACATAATCGACAAATAACGGACAAAATATTAATAAAAAAAAGTAAAAGCCTTTTAGCAAACTCAACCACGCACTAAAAATTCGAAACACAGTATATTAATTGATGCGAAAAAATGATTTTTCTGTACAACAATACCACAGGACCACAGCAATCTAGCAAAATGTATCAAAGGCCCATTGCGTGTCTACTAACAAAGTTATTTATCTGTCGTCAGATCCATGAATTACACTTAATTCTTTGAATCTCGGTTCCAAATTGGTGAAGGTATACTGGTAGCTGGTACAACTATCAAAATTTTCCAAAAATAAAGTGACGCTAATATTTCCTACCTTGAAACCTCTTTGACTCTTTATTCCTATCCGCATAAAATATTATACAATACCACCACTAATTATATGTTAAACAACCAGATAAAAACACTTTACTGTCTTCCACATGGTGCAGATATGCCTGTTGGAAGAGGAATATCTCATCAATTTGCCGTTAGACGCATCATATCTATATACCAAGGGTCGGCAAACTTTTGTCATTCGCGGGCCAAATTAAAGGTTGCAAGTAATTGGCGGGACGCACATATTTTTAGAATATTAAAAACCGAGGGAATGGAGAATGAATCACATTTTTTCACACAGATTTTAGTTAAATTTCAAGCAGCGCGCGAAGACTGATTATTTGAAACGTCATTAAACCATTTGCACTCAGCGTTCTGAGTGAGAGAGTCTTTTTTAAGTTCTTTTGCTATTTGTCTAATTATACTCAATTTATAGGCTCATTAAACGAGTGAACGAATAAATTGTGAATTATATACTTGTTAGGTTATAATAGAATCTAGTGTTTCAAAACAAATTATGTTACGTAAAGAATATAATCGTCAATACAGATATTTTGTTAATATAATTCAGTAAAGCGTCGCGGGCCGGATTAAATTGTTCCGCGGGTCGGATCTGGCCCGCGGGCCGTAGTTTGCCGACCCCTGCTATATACAGTCCCGTGATGGTTGTGATGTATTTATATACTGTAATTTTACTTTGATGCATTTTAGGGATGATTATTCCGAAAAAATGAAACAAAGAGTGGCATTATTGCTCAACCTCTGTTTCGAATAGAGGCGTGGTGATGGCGCGATATGCATAAATTTGATTTTCATATTCACTAACAAACGCAGAACCATAGATTCAATAAAAATTTCCTTCTGACTCTCGTCTACGAATCACCCAGACAAACGGCTCCTAGAAAAATAATCCAACACCGTCTCACAACTCTGGAATTTTTACTCGAAAATATCTTGATTTTACTAAATTCTAAAAGAACAAACGCCGATCAAATGATCGCCCTAATGCAAGTTAATGGCTTTTAATCTTTGCGGTTATAGACATAAAGAAAGAGGGATTAGAGAATATTGAGGTACTATTGCAATACCTTTATGACCTCGGTTTATTTTGAATGTTGGTCTTCTGAATTCCTTTGTAAAATGATCCCGAAAAACTTCGCATACTTGACGTATGTATCAGTTATCTTGAAGTTTTGTTTGGAGTGAACTCAGTGAAGTCATTAGTTTAATCTGATATGGATTGTCCTTTGATACGGTATACAAAGTTTAACGCCCCAGGGAATTCTTAGTAAATGATCCGTGCATAGGAACGTGGTCGAATTCATCAGTTGTGACCAACTTCGAAAATAAGGATGCAACTTCTAAAATTACTATTATGTTGTATTTTTCTATGTCTATTCGCTAATCGCTCTGCAGTAGCTAACGATGAAAAATGTGGAATGACTCCGAGAGCAGATATAGACTGGAAAAAAGTGAGTTCACGTTTATATTTAACATTAGTAAATTCGAAATGAGATGCCGAAACAAGAAATTAGAATTTTTACGACATAAATATTATATATATATATATATATCAGTATTGGCAACCCGTTTGCTCCAGACTAATTTAGCCTACTTTACATGAAGTTGTGGGCAAATACACGTGGCTAACACAGACAGTCCCCAGACTTGTAATAGAACTAAAATAAGAAAAATAGGAATAAAATTATGGCCTAACCTTTTAACCTGGTACACACACTACGGGAGTACCTCTTCTTCAACACGTGATGACTTTTATTTTGTTTGTTGTGCTCAAAAGGTTCCTACTGTATGGTTCCTGTCATATTACTCCCCGAATATTATCTTTTCTGAAGTCGTTTCGTGCCAAGCTTCTCAACTTGTTAAAATTGTTGGCGAAGGACCCGACAGTTACGCTGTCTTTCATGGAAAGAATTATTACTATAACGGGTAAGATTCATGGCTTTGTCTGTAAGATTTTATATACTGTATGCACCCTTTAACTATGTTGCCACATAGGTATTCTTCAGTCTAGATTTTAAGTGTTGTGTTTATATAATTAATCAACAAAATGGGGGAATTGCTCGAGAAAATCCTATTCTGAAACAGTCAAGAAACAGACTATGGTTCCGACTGTAGTTTGTACTTTTCAGACTGTTTTACTAGCAACTCTGAAAAAGACTCTGGCCACGAGTCTAACACAGTAAGCAACCTCAAGGTCCGTTGCCCTGTGTAAAAAACAGGCTTGTCAACGTCCCATGGGATGGGATAGCACACATTTGTATTTCTCATGGTATACGTGGGACACGAAAACCGTATGATTTTCGGGGAAATGATGGTAAAACATTTAGTTATGAACTCCGTGTCCATATATTTGAGCATAGCTTTCTTGTTAGTTATAGAGAGAAAAATATATTTAGCATTAACAATATACTTCGTGAAGGGGCTGATGGACACATGTATAATAGTTATGTATATGAAGTTTACAAAGTCCGTAAATTTTGTTGTTTTGCATGTCTATGTAAATGTATTCCTATTTAGTAGACGTTAAACATAAATTCAACAATTTTTAGTTAATTATTTCAATGGGAATCCCATGGGATGGGATGGGACAGAAAAATATGTCCCATGGACAAGCCTGCGGTAAAAACCGTCTATACTTTAATTGGACCGGGGCCCATATTCACAGACTTGTATTAGATTTCATAATTTAAGTAGAAAAACTCAGTGTACTAAAGTAAATCCTAACTATTCAAGAACAGAAAGATGACAAAATGCATAATACGCATTGTAATCTAAATTTATGAACATTTACTGTAGATCTTATAATGAGTGAATGACTATTTTTATAATTCCATCGCAATTGGGGTGAAATTTGACCTTTAACATATGCAAACCAGGTGATTAAAACCATGTAAGCATTTTTATACAGTGTAGACAACTAATTGTGGGCATGTACATCATTGTTACATACAGTTATTGCAATTACGCACAGTCAAAAATATTGCATTCACTCAGAAATCCTCCAGAAGACTACGAACTTTCACTAAAACATGCCGGTCAGGGGCCAGGCATTTACTATTGGACATCGGGTAAGACATACCGATTTAAAATTCATTTCGATAAATCGTGTTTTTATAAGTAGCAGGCAAACTTGTTCAAATATTAGCAGTGTTTGAATAGAAAACCTCCATTAAACATAAGCAGTGATTTTATTTTATGAGTTTTTGTTTCACAATATATATTCTCAAATAAAAAAGTGGCTTAATTATCAGTATAAATGACGTTTGTAATAGGTTTAATTTCCCAAGCCTTATGAAAAGATTTATATAATATATTAATTGTGTACTGACAAACTATTTGAATTTATGCTTTGCACAGTAAACGATAGTATCGTGGAAGCCGGATCAAAGTTATCTTCTAATGAATCGAACGAAAAGGCCCGAACTGAGCGTAAGTTATACATTATAAGCTATGGTAATTCTAAATTTAAGAATAAAAAACATTTTAATCGTGAACATCAAACATTTCTTCTGGCACATATCTAGAAATGCTTGACTTACAAATTAGCTGTAGCGTCAAGCAATATAAAATATTATTATCTATTTAATATCGTAGCTGCAGGGCTGATGTAATGTATTTTCAACTTTTTATCGATCTTGATACGAGTCTATTTATTTTCAGTCAAAGAAATGAAGATGCAAATAGCAATAGACATCATGGCATCGGACTACTCTACTTATTTAATTAACGTATCCTGTAATAAACATACAGGAGGTTAGTAAATTTTCAATATCAATTATGTTTATGCAAGCAAACCAATTTATTTTTAAATTGCATTATAACGATTTTTTGAAAAATACAAAATACTATTTTTCATCTAAAATCATCTTCTTAAAGTAAATTCGCTTCCTAAATATCGCATTTCGTGATAAATGCTGTTTAGTTGTTGACAATTGACATTTTTTATGCAGAAAAACAAATAAGTCTTGTATTTACAACGAATCCCGATCCTACGGCACTGGGAATTTTGAAAATTCATCGAGCATTGGTTGACCTTAATGTAACTGGAAATCTCCTGGCAACTCGCTGTTCTTCATCACCAGCAATAGAAGACTTTTCCAAACTATAGTTAAATGTACCATAATTTCCCAAATTAGGAATACCAAAAGGTGAGAAGTAGTTTTTCATATTATATATATATATGTGTGTGTTTCGATACCTCGTTCAGAACGAATAATTAGTAGTAAAGCAACTGATAGTTAGATATTTTACCGAGTCCGACCGAGTATATTACTTCTGTCTGGTCTGGCTAAAATATTGGTACATAACGTTATTTTTAACCTGCAATACCAACGGAATTATACCAATGAATTAATCAGTAGTGAGCAGTCAGTCCATGGCATTCAAATCGTAAATTGTCCATGTTCTATTAATATCTATTCGCTGGAAATCTGATTTCAATTTTCTTTCCGCAATTTTACAGGAATCTGATCAATTGTTACTGAATCCATAAAGGCATCAACAACAAGAATTTTGAGGATAATTTTGGTTAATTTAAAATCTCCAATTTTAACAAATAAATAGAGTCCAAATGGTTTAACATGATTATATATGAATGGGAAGAATAGATGATGAGAGTTCAAAATGCAATAGTGGGTCGCAGGTAATTGTACTGTATGCAGAAGGAAACTCACAATTCGACGCTCCAGAAGAGTGTGTACCAATATGGAGGTAACTAATTTTATTCGCCTACTTTACATCAAGTTGTGTAAAGGAACGGAAGCCTATGGGCAGGGGGTATATTCACTTGACTAACACAGACAGTCCTCGTAATAGAACCAAAATAGGGAAAATCGGAATAGAATTATCGCCTAACTCTAACCTACCGGAACACACACTACGTGAGTACGTAAAATTCAACCGTATAAACCGATAGTGACAAAAGTCTAGTCCCCAAGGTAGTGGAGCCATGCACGGGCTCTGCAATCAGTAGGCAAAGTTCGCGTACAGAGAGGTGTTGGAATCTAGCAACATAACTGACTTTATTTCCAACAAATAAACCCTCGAACAGCAAATTCACGGAATGAGGGGGACATCAGTCTCAGTCATAACGTTTTGGTCTACGGAAGTAGGACATCGTATCAAACTTAGTCAGCCATCGCCAACGCAATTTATTTCGAATCCCGTATGGGAATAGTTATGTGCGAGAGAAGGCTGTACACCTCTAGCCGTAGAGATCTTCACTGCTGGTTTTCCTCCACCATCAAGTCCGAAAACAAATATCTGGCTGAATAAATATATACCGGACATGGACTGGGAACCGGACGAGTAGCCGTGGTTCGCGATATGATTAAGCAGTCTTATCGACTTTCCTCTCCCCCGGAATACATATGTAAAATCTTATCTTGTATAATCCTAACAACCCTTGATAATCATCGTAGTTAAGTCAAACGCACGTCGCATTTACACGAAAAAGTGTGGCATTAACAAAAACAAAACTCAAGTGTGTAAAATGGAAATTTATTTTAGCGCAGATTTGTCTCAAAACCGATACCATGTTCCGTTGTCTCAAATTCTCTTTGTTTATACAACAGATAGCTTTTATCAAACCATGCCGGCAGAATCAAAATCAAGGCTCCCAATACAGACACAGTAAGAAATAAAATGAAGAATACTCGATCGAGCACGTTTGCGATGAACCTCCACTCCTCAGATTCCTGATAAAAGAAAATCGCGAAATTACTTAAACCAATTTATTTATATAAAAAAAAATTATCTTATTCTAACTAACACACAATCACTTACCTGTTGGTGATGAAGTTTTTGTTTCAATTTTTCTGCAATGAAAAACGCACTTTCTATCGTTCCGCCAAGCTGTGTGCAAAGATTATCAGGTAGTTTTGTACATCTTCTTAGCTCTTTTAGTAGATGTCGCCCTCTGAAATTTACATTTATACATGTTTCATAAATAAAATATAAACTGTTAATTGAATATGATACAAGACTATAGTGAAGATTAAAATGTGATAACCTTGGTTACGACCATTGTCAAGTGAAGCTCGTAACATCAGCCTTCATTTGAAAAAGTTTAAAACATGAAAGATATCATATGCCCGCTCATCAGCACAAATAAAAATCGACACAAAACACAAACCTAGTTAAACGATGCTTGGGCCAAAAATATACAAACGAAAATACGCAAATGTCTTAAACTTTCGTGCTGTTATACTTTTGAAACCCTTGGGCTAATAATGAACAATTCAATCTGATACAGTATATGCCTTAATTTAAGTTTCTTGAAAATATGGGTACATGAAATTCAATTTTTAATTAAGCTTCATGGAACTCAGTATACACTGAAACAGCGACATACAGTTAAGTAAAGTATTGTTCATAATTTTTGATATATACTGTCTAACTCCGGCGAACAGGTACCAATGTTTAGTGAAAATATTTGGCTATGATATGTTATTTGCCAAACACTAGACTGAACATAAGTAAAATTACATGATGAGATTTTCTTTCTTAAACAGCAAGCCGTTTTTCATTTTTTGTTCCAGTGAGGTTCCTCGAAGTATTGTCAGATCAGGCTTTTCCATCCATATTAAAGTAGGAACCGTCTCAAGAACGAATGAGCGGATAAATGACGGTAGACTTCTGCAAAAAGGTGAGATTTAACAAATACGTTATCCGTGAAAATAAAATACTTGGGGCAAGGTGGGTGTCTCAAAAATGTCGTGTCCCAAACAACGCACACTTGTACTACTACTCCACGCAGGTAAAGAGCCCCACATTCGTTCCATTTGTATGAATCACAATTTAAATGCTCACAATAGATAGACAAAATAATTTGAATCCATTCCAAATTTCGATACGATTGTCAAAATCGTTCAATTAATCGTTCGATAAGCGAAAGGCGCGACGAATCAATTCTCCGGACGATGCCCGCCACAATAATATCTTTCAACAGCGCTTATTGGAGATTGTTACGTCATCATTATTGTCTTTTGTACATACCTCAAATACCACTTATATTACTCTAGTCATTTTCCTTATGTTTTTTTCATATCTTTTCCAATTCATAACAGTGGTACGTGCGTGACAAAAGTGGTAGATCCAGATGAATGTGTAACAAAAGGGGAAAGTGGGATAGGATATCTTTGAGACAACTTTGCAATGTAGCGACCAAGGAAAATCAATAAAAAATCATAACATGAAAAGTTGTTGTATATAAATTATTTAATAAGTTGGCATGGCAAAACCGTAAAAGAGCAAATTATTTTTGTCTTGCAAGGTTTCATTGAGCTGCAGAAAACCAACGCTGAATTGCAAATTAACACGAATTGCTGGTTAGTTTACGATAGCATACCTGTGACTCGTCTCAGATCGATAATGAACATTCAACACCACCGACGTCAATACAATAGACAGAGTGATAAAAATCATGTTTAGTAAAAGATATTCAGCAAGTAATGGCAAATCCTTCGACGATGCTGGCATTATTTCAGTTATGACAAGAAGATAGAAAATATGAGCCAGCAGAACTGAGATAGATAAAGTAATTTTTTCCTGTGAGGCCGAGGGTAGGTAGAAGACTAAAGCTGTAAAAAAATCAGAAAAAGTAAAAATTACTTGTACGACCAAGCACAAAAAATTTGTCTTAAAATTCTCATATTATTTAAATTAAATATAATACGGCACTTAGCTTCAAAAATATAGTTTCGTTTATTATTTATTAGAGTCAGTAATCAGAGAATGTAAACACGAATTTTTATTTAAATGCATTATTTAATGTGCATTAAATTATGGTTTACCAACTTATATTTATAACTTACTATAGAATGATAGGCTTTGCCTATTAAAAAGATCGTTGTTCACGTTCGACGCCGGAGCTAATTATTCTAATGTAGTTTTCGGTACCGATGGATACTTACATGTAAGAAATGATATTCCAAGACATGGAGCAATGAGAAATGTACAGTAAAAGAGCGGTAGTCGTCGCAATATAAAACAATAAGTTACTTTAGGATGCGAGAAGATACTGTGTGACCAGTTTTCCTCGTCTTCTTGTCTGTTAAAATAATGTTAATGGTGACTAAGCCTAAAACATAGAAAAAATTGCGATTGTATATCATTGAGGCAAGATTGATATCAAGGTTTCAGATACTCACAAGCTATCTCCTTCTGAATTGATGACATGTATATCAACCACATCCCACTCTCCATTATGAGTGAATTTTCTGAGACTAACCTATAAATGCATGTTATTTGTTTGTGTTTTGTCAGCATAAAAAAGTTGTATCAACTTGACTTTTTAGTTGGTTATAACTTGATATTATAAGTCGAATTGAGATTTGACGAATAGTTTAACGCTCTCAGTTCAAATTATCTTTCATAAACAATTTAAAATTCTTAAGTCTAGAAATAATATTTATTCAAATCACTGAGACAAATTACCAACCAAACATATGCAGATATAAAATGAAAATGCAACCTACAGCTTTTTCTGATGCATAAAGTCTCACTTGTCTTGCGTCGTATGACCACGATGCTGTTACATAATTAACACATAATTGTCATAATAAACATGTAAGTATCAATCGGAGGGTTATTTAGTTTCTAAAACGACCAATGTGGAAGAGAAAACAAATCTCAACAAGTTTTCAGTTCAAAACAAAATAAATCAGTCAACTTTGGGTTTTTAAAACTCTCGGTTTGAGTCGACTGCAAACAAGATAACTTAAAGATAATTAAGATAACTTAAGATAAAAAGATTTTGATTCCATGAATCGGACTATCACGAAAACTTAGTACCACTACAGATATGGATGTTATCGAAGCTGGGCAACAGGCAAAAGTCCCGTAATCCATTATACAAATCCTCTAACGTCCAAATTGGTGCAATAACTCACCAAATTTCATTGTACAATTTTGCATATCAAATGGAAAGAAGGTTGCGTCTATTGGACAAGTGCTTTTATATACTGCAGGTGGACTCCATTGCACCAAACCATCGTAACGTATGACTGCCTTAGTTGGATGAGAAGAGGTGAAATTACCGTCCGCACTGAAATGAAAAAGGAGTACGTAGAAGTGATACGTGTAAATTGGCAAAAGCGTGTACAACTGTGAGCAATGTTTCACTTATTCATTTCGTTTATTCAACCAGATCATAAGTTTTATGGGAAAGACAAAACCCTGAATGAATAGGTACAGTAAAAAGAGAAAAAAACAATACTCAAATACTGTGTTATCAGAAAATTTCCTGCCAGATTTGAAAATAGTTGTACCAGATGTCATATGAAGGATTGTGAATGCTGTGTTGCGGTTGATAAATCAACAAAATTTTGAATTGAATTTCGTCCCCGTACGATCCGAAAAAATTATCTCTCTAGCGACTTCTTCAATAATGAAAATTTGAAATCAATTTGTCCAGAATTTGCTCAGAAAAGCGGTGTTTTTACAATAATAACAACAAATTAGCATAATGATCTATGAGTTCACTTTGCGTCCAACAATTTAGTTGAATTAATTCAATTTGCGACGTCATGAGGTAGAAGTTATATAATCTGAGGATCGAATGATGAATGAAAAAAGATTTAATTGGTCCTTCTGCATCTTTCGAAAAACAACCAAGTTTTTCATCGTATCGTATTTTTCAAAAACCAAATTGAACAATGGTGATCAAGTGTGTGATGGATGGTAACAAAAGTGATAGACAAAATTCATACTTTTCCATGAGTACAATACCAGGAATCCAGATGAAATCTGATGGAATTCTTGTACTTGTGATATTATCAAACTCTTCAGGATTCCAACGAAGAAAAATATCCCGCCAAGACTGGAATATAAGATGAAATTACAATGTATGATAACCCACACTTGATAGTGTCATTTCGAGTAAATGACCGCAAAGAACTATTATAAAAGAGCAAGTGATATTAGTATTACTTCTTCAAATCTGGTATAATTCCAATAAATATCGGATAATCGCTCATATATATCGTTTTATTTTATCTCAATTGCGGGGCTGAGAGTTCTTGAACTGATTTTTGTCAGATAGCCTATCGTATTTGAACCAAATAATTTAGTATATTATCATATGAATAAATATTAAAATGATTTTATTGATAAAGCTGAGACATTTTAAATATGCCTCATAGATCTCACAATATATTTAGGTATATAGACATGGTGACCAGGGTAGCCCTTTTTCATCAAGTTTAATGCGCGATCAGCGTATAATCAACATGATACCTGGTCGACCCACAAATTCGTGGTCATCATTAGTCTTTGTTCATCCAAATCAACTATTTGATTAACCGATATTCCCAGGAAAACATTGATAAATTCGTGCGACCTTTGTGTGGGGAGAATATTTTTGTTGTATCCTCGTCCAAATAAATGTTGATGTAAAGCTTCCTCCGTACGATATGACGCGTTGGCTGCCATAGAAGATCAGAATATGTATTATGGAAAGCTAAAATACATTAGGATTAGAATTCGAAAATTATACATAAATTATGCTGAAAACATATACGTTTCTTCTTGTTTATTGCTCATTCGCAGAAGAATATTAGGCTCCGATTGGGGTCATGGTAACCGGATTAACCGCTCCTATATACATATAATATATACTATATAGCATACATATCTAGACTCACTTATAATTGTCATCTGAGAGGGACGCAGACTATCAACCACAAATGTTGTAGTTTATAAATCCGATTATCGGATTGAATATCACGGTATTTGTTTTAATCTTAGGTGAAAGCTCAGAACAGGACAGATAAATAGTTTCAGACACTTGCTATGTAGTGAACTAAAACAGTTAATATATATTGAGAAAGCAATACATGTCATATATATACGAGTATATCTAAGTTGTAAATCACAAGTTGGTATAGTAAAGTAAAAGTTACGATACATACGAAATACAATAATGGTATTCAATGCTGAATTCTAAACAGTCACGTAATGTAATTTTTCTTGCAATATATATATATATATATATGTATAAATTTTAATTACTCACCCGTGGAAATTGCACAAACGAAAACAGACAAACTTATCCAGAAAACGACCATTCTGGAAAGTTTGTGAATCTGATTCATCCAATATTATTCCTTTATATTCTTTTACTTTCATGCACGGTATCTAATATATCTGCTATACCAGGCTACGCACAGCTGACACTAATACAAATCCATTACTTTAAACCATTGTTGGAAAATAGGAAACAAGTTTCTTTACCAAACAACTGCTTTTGACAACAACTCTTTTTCCACCGACCAATTTTCTGAATCAATTAATTTCATGGCCAAGATTCAATCATTACTTGAAGCTTGTATAATCTCCTCGAGTATTCACTTGGGAATTTGTCAGGAATTAAATCGATTTTTTTGGACAAGGTATACCAGCTTTTGCGCGTGAGTGAAAAAGATTGCACGTCAGATTTTTTGTTGAAGATTCCGAAACTGATTTTCAGTTAGCCGAAGGTATTATTACTTTGTTTGTTGGATTTCGGGGAATTTTCGACTTCGATCACTGCGACTCGATAGCTTAAGGCAGGGGTGTGTGCAACCTGCATAGAAGTGCCAATTTTGAATATGTGCGGCCGGCGAAACTAGTTTTTAATTTAATTTGGTACGCGTGAGTAATTTCAATCCCTTTCTTTGCGAAGCCTATATCTACGCGAAATTTATTATCTATGCCTATATAATGCCTTAACAGCTCGCTTGTGCAAACAACACATGTCACAAAATCAATAACCAAAATCTTTGTGTCTGCAACTACTAGATAGCCTATGGTAAGGTACGCCCGCGGTTTCACCCAGATATTTATATCTGGCCTTAATGAATTTTAGATTGCACACCCCTGGCATAGAGAACAAGAGTGTGAGTTTCAAACTGTTTTGAAACACCCATCACAAAATTTTTCATTTTACCTTTATTATTTAACGAAAAGACCTAATAAAATTGACAAAAATGAAATTATATAAAAACAACTGACGCACTGTCTCTCGAGTCAAATTAATTAAATTGATCCATCACGCCAATTCAAAAATATAATAAAAAAAACCTAAGAGAAAGAAAAAAATTTAAACAAACTTTTGCACGTTACATTAAACATAATTTACTCTCCCAAACGCTCTTTCAAGCGTGTTCAAATCCATTACGGATTCCTATGTCGTCTGGGATTTTTTGTATTGATTTTTAAATTAGTAAACATGATCTACGTTATGCGTTAGTTTATTTCCTTTTTTAGGTCCAAAATAGAAAATGGTTCTTGTAGAAAAAAGCGAGCACAATTGCAACTCTGTTCTTTATAGCCAGAACGTAAAGTGCGATGGGGTAGCACAAAAATGCGGTAAATTTACCAGCATCTCAGTGTAACTTTGTCGAAGCACACTTTATAGCTTGGTACAAATAAATCATGCTTTGGAATAATTTTATTCAAAGCTTTATAGCAAGTTGAATCTAAACGTGTAGTGTCGATAATCTGAAATATAAACGTAAAAACCCATGTCCATTACTTCACCCAGAATGTAAATACCAAACAAACAAAAAAACACATCTCTTTTAAAACAAACTGACTGCTAACGTTCCAATGGTACCTTGTTAAGAGGAAAAGTCTAAAACATTCATTAAATATTTTTTTCGTATTTCCGTACTACTTGGATATATCCTAAACTCCTGAAACTACACAGCAAACTGAAGTTTCTATCCAGAATCAGCAAGAAAAAGAACTAGCTGTCTGATAACACGGAAATTCCCTCGTCTTCATTTGTTCTTGTTACTGTTTTTTCGACGACAATAATTGTACGAGGAGAAGATCGTGTTTCTTCTTTATCACATGATTCTAGGAATTATAAATTATTAATATTTACTAAATAAATGACCATACAATATTTCATTGATGAAACATTTAATTTTAAACCATCAAACACTAACAAAAAAAAAGGTTTGCAATTCCTAATTTTTGATGACGTTAAAACGTTTGATGACGACGTTTGTTTGTGTGAAAAAACAACTAATACTGTACCTTTACTCTTTAAACATATTCTTGGTGGGACCAACGTTCCATCGGCTTCACTATATTCATATTCGACTGTCAGTTCTTTTTCTTTGGCAATATCGTCTTTGTGCTGGAATAAGTTATTATGTTTCGTGAATCGAATATAAATACATTTTCAAGTGAATTTGCCCAAAAGCCGAAGTAAAGATGACTTATCTTAGAGAAAAGTCAAGGGAGACCAAGAGATGCTGAAATCAGGACTGGAATGGCTTCAGCTTCAATTCTGGAGTCATTGAAGTTTTCAATATGCCAATGGTCATGAAATTTCAGCCCAAATACAGTTTTGTAGGAGCGGGACTCAAAACTATAATATAAAGCTTTCACATTTTATTCCTGGTAGCTCCACCTCCACCTAATATTGTTATATTGGCTCAACAGGTCCAGGGTACGGAGCCATGACTAAACCATATCGATTTATTAACGAAAAGTCCAAAATATTTATGGAATTTTCGCGAATCACCTCAATCATATTCTCCTGTTTCGATGTATTCAATTCTTCAATAAACGCCGATGGATTTTTGACAACACTTTCAATACTCATTTGTGAATCTTGATTTTTCTTCATATCATCAAATATAATATTTTGATATGATGTTGTTGCTTGTTCAGCGCCGGCCACGAAGCTACCAGTTTGTCCAACAAGAGAACTGGTGTTGAGAAACTGTCCTGAATTTATAGAATACAAATTTTGTTCCCAAAACATGTTTTCCAATAATAAGAATTTTTTATATTCATCTCTATTTTTAAATCGAATCATACGAACACCAGAGAATTGACTATTCTTCGACGAATCTAATCTGATATAAATTATTCCACAATTACCTGGCATATTATAAGTCGCATGCATGGGCGGTATTCCATTAGCCAAATAAGAGTGGTGATCATCAAGAGATGTATAAAATTGTCTCGGATATCCGGCAGTTGGAACGTAAAAATAAAAATTAGACGGATCCATAAAACCACAATCGGGAAACGTGTTAAAAACTGTCGCTGGATAATGAACAAACGGACTCCCGAATGTGTGAATCGAACCAGGAGCACCCTGGAAATAGAATGCTGTTAAATTTAGCAGTACTGATAGACTGTTAAGTCCTATACGTTACTTTCAGTGAATTCTTTGGGTGTGCAACCTGAGGGTCAAATTTTAAACGGTGCGAGCAATTTCAATCCCTTTGCGTGACAAATCCTATACTCGAGTCCAATTTATTATCTATGTCAATGACGTTACAATGCCACAACAGCTAACTTGTACAATTCGCAAAACCCATGTCATAGGATTGATAAACAAAAGTATTGTGCTTGCAACTACCAGAAAGCGTACGTTAAATAAAGTTGCGGCCCACGGTTTCACCCAGTTATTTAGATCCGGCACTCCTGTAATAAAGGTTGCAGGGTCCATACAACTAAAATTTGGCCAAGCTGTTTTTAAGAACTTAATTGGAATTCACTACCTCGACAACGTTTTTCTCATTGTATTCAATAAAGCTCCTTCAAATTGCGCCTCAATTGCGTTCAATGACCACCATAAACCACAGTGTCCCAAATATAGGTTAACGTTTATTAGGTTATTAAAATACTGTATACCTATTTGGGTTCGCCCTGTAGTTTCAATAGCTTTTGAGAATTAAACTTTACTCAGAGATAGGTAGGCTTGCACGTAATTGACAAAAATCAATTCCGTAATTACGGCAAAATCGATTACGTAATGACCCCGTAATTGCGATATTTTTTCACACATCATAACCTATCATAACAACCAATTGAATCCACTTCATTTTCGATTGGGACATCGAGTTTGGGTTTTCATATTCCTGGCAGTACTACACGCCGGCGACAGATGTTAAGACAAGAGTGAATTCAAATTAATTTTATTCTGATTTTTATCTTTTGTGCTAGCTTTGATTTCCTTTATCACCTTCGCAAATTAACCGTCCCAATTTTATGCGATCAATTTTATCATTACCGACACTGGTATACGGATATTTATGAAACGATAGTTGACTTTTTTAAAATCGTATTAAAAATAAATGTCGGGTTTCCAATTTATCAATGCCACGACGAGCGTATTCTCTCGTTTGATTATACTTGCGCTTGCCTCGCGACGAAGACTTGTTATTGCACCGTTTTTAACATTATTCGACTTTACTACCTAGTCAGCATTTTATAATAATCATTGATGCCGACTTATTGACGTTATTCCGATTACCAATTCCGAAAATGGTTCTCGCACAGAATAAACACACTGGCTCATACTTGATAGTAGTTAAATTGAGAATATTGAACTGTTGAAACAAAAAAACGATTGTCGAAATTCTTAAATCTCGTTGCCTTGGTTAAATATAATCCAATGATCAGGACATTTTCAATTAAATACTGCACAAAGATAGTTATACATTAAACATTTAGGCTACAATTTAGCTTTATTTTTTTAAATTCCAATCATGCATTGTGGTGGAGAAATCCCATTATTTAAATACGGGTAACTATAAAAATAGAATAGGATTCTCGATTCGATTCAAGTATTCTAAAACAGTGGTTCCCAACCGCCGGTCCGCGGACCGTCAACGGTCCGCAAAGGATTTTTACCGGATCGTGGGAAATCCCGTCATATTGTTGTTTCTCTGCCGTCTCAATCGCTTTACCGATGCCGAAAAGACGAAGTTGCGTTGGTTCATTACGCAATTTCTTTCCCGTCGTCATATTGCTGTTTGATAAGCGCGACATTAATTATCACGGTGACGTATTGGCAAGAGAGAGAAAAGTGAGAAAAACGGCTGCAAATACCGAAGCTCTAACTTCTTCTACTTTTTAAACTTTCACTTTTTACAATCGACGGAATTGACTGCTTTGAAGAGAGCTCGTTTCAATCGTGAAAGTGCTCGACCAATATTTACGACTTTACGTAATTCGTAACTTCCCTTCCGTAACTCGAAATAATTCCGTAAATCTGTAAATTACGTGCAAGCCTAGAGATAGGTCTTGTTTACTCCTGAGTGAGTGCGCGTGACTTTATTATCTTATAATGAAATGGTTCATTAATTCGTGAAATAAATGTATTTTTCCGATGGATAATTACAATTAAATAAAACTCCTCACTGCAAAATTGTCTATTTCTACTCGGAAGTATTCTTGCCATCCCATATCACAATCTTGATTCAAATAACTTTCTTGGCGCTCCAGAAGTTTGTCTACCAATATGGAGGTAGCTAATTTTATTCGCCCTCTTTACATCAAGTTGTGTAAAGGGACGGAAGCCTTTGAGCGAGGTTATATTCACTTGGCTAACACAAACAGTCCCCGAACTTATGATAAAAATAAAATAAGGAAAATCGGAATAAAATTATGACCTAACCATAAGCTGGTACGCATACTAAGGGGGACCCAAAATTCAATATGTTTTCATCATATTATTTTAAACACCTGTACGTTACACTGAGGCATACAACACCCATTCCACTGCTGTTGAGTTAATGATTGTGATATCTTTTTATTATTATTATTACTATGATGTTGATCTTGACTTCCGCCCTCCGCTGACACAAAACCTAAATCATCACTTTGTTGGGATGACCCCCTGCATGAAAAATGAACGGTATTAGGAATGAATATATATATATATATATATGGGCCATTCCAAGCAAAAGTTGAATTCCATCAATTTTTTTAAAAGTGTAGAGAAAGTAATTTTTTTGTGTTTTTTATATCAGAAGACATTGGAATTTTATTGAACTGCATTCCTTTCACCGAAAAAGTTAAAATTTCACCCAGGTTTTTTAAGTTTTTTAAAAAATGGCCTAAAATGTAGAAATTTTGGTATAATTGACAAGTTTTGTAATGATTCGTGACACAAAGTGTTTGATTGTGTGATACAGTTATTTCATATGAAATGGACTCACTGAAATTAAGTTAATAAAGTTTAAATGTTTGCAGTGCTGTATGACATTTCTTCACCCATTTAACGATTTATTACCAGAATTTTGAGAGATGATAGAGGCCGCTGTTTCGAAGCGGAAAAATGTCCTGTGGTGTCACGTCCTGTAGTGTCACATAGATCCACAGTGTTACATTAGGTGAATTGAGCAACACATAGAGGGGTAGTTCAGCTATTGCACCAGAAAATATTATGGGCCCCTGTTGTAGGATCGCAAAAATTTACAGCATAACACAACGTACTGTTAGTGCATGGTGGATTTACCGTCCTGTAGTGTCACGCTATATTTTACTATATTTTTTATATCCACTAAGTATGTCTTGGGTGTAACTTTTGTGCAATTTTTTCCATATTTAAAAAAGCAATTGATTGGACAATGAAACAAAACATGTAGCTGAAAATGTAAAAATATATTGCATCCAACAACTTGAAAAATTTCTGGAATTGTCCTGTAGTGTCACTTGGAATAGCCCATATATGCAATTTAGTTTAGAAGAAGTCTGAAATTAAAGTAATATCAAAAAGCATTTCGAGTGAATATATAATCTCAAATATATTGAAACGAAAGCCAAAACGAAATAGTACGAGTATGCAATCTATCACAATAGACTACCGGTACCGCAATCTTCACGACTTCGACTGACTGCCCGCTAGCAACAGAGGTGAACGCGGGACCGTCACAATGTGCGCAATTTACAATTTTGATGACGTCATCGAACACAAAAAAGAATCCCATAGCCATAGAGCCCACAGAAAATTTTGAAATAAATAAAAGTAATAGCCTTATAGCGACAACAACACTCTTTACCCCTGAAAAATGCAAAGTAATTGATCCAGCAATAACTGAAAAAAGAATGACAAACAAGAAGAACAACATAATAACAAATCAATCTATATGTCCACCTCGTGTCCAATAACCGATATATTTCAGTGTTTGAGCATATTATTGCGTCGCATGATTTCACCAATTTCTTTTTAATTTGGGTCGCTCAAAAAAAAATAGGGAACACTGTTTTACGGCATTATTCTAATATCTCCTTTCAACTTACTTTGATTTTGCTGTTGGTGACTGACTTTCTGTTAGCAAAGTTTCCTTTTGTACGTGACAATGATTCAAATTTCTATCTTTCTCTCCAACAGTAACCATAGAAGTCTTAGTGCGATGACTGGAATAGAAGTTGGAATGGAAGATATTTTTCTTAAATTGTATTAAATTCTATCGCATACTTGAAGTTGAATTTAAGTTATATCACACATAAAATATTATTTTACTCAAGCAAGCAAGAATAATCGCAGGCTTGTCCATGGGATGGGATAGCACACATTTGTATTTCCCATGAGACACGTAGAACACGAAAACCGTATGATTTTCGGGGAAATGATGGTAAAACATTTCGTTATGGACTTCCTGACCATATATATTCGAGCATAGCCTTCTTGTTAGTTATGAAGAGCAAAACATATTCAGCAATAACAATATACTTCATGAAGGGGCTGACGGACACGTGTATAATATAGTTATGATTAACAAAGTTCGTAAATTTTGTTATTTTACATGTCTCTTTTTACATGTAGTACTATTTAGTATACGCTAAACCTAAATTTAACAATTTTTATTGATATTTATTCCAATGGGAATCCTATGAGATGGGACAGGTATAATTACTATATGCCATAGTAAATGTAAATATGCATAATTAATTCCGAGTACATTAAATATATATAAAATACAGTAATTCACCTCAAAATCTGATGCTTTAAAGTACTTCTCGTTTCTGCTGAATGGTACAAGTATGACGCTGCATTCCGATCAACTTGGAAGCTATAAAAGTATGTATAAACACTGAAATATAACATTGGAAAATCGATGGAATAAATACTTACATTACAATTTTTATGCAAAAACGCAATAAAAAATACACCAGGATCAGATTTTCATAACCATCTCGGGGATGAAAAAATTCGATATGACGGTTTAATGGTATGACGATTGACGAACCCAGGCTACCAGTCCAAGTAAGATATATTGAAATAGTTAACCAATTGGACATAGTTATACCCCGCGTGATATGAGTCCGCGTAAGCAGGGGTGCGATGACATGCGTGTTCCTAACGCTTGGCACAATCGCCCAGTCATATTAATTATAATAAAGTTGTAGACATGATTCAAATGATAAACTTACGTTGACGCGAAATGATCCTTGAATTGATCCATTCTTTTGAAGTTAGAAATTTCATTTGTTAAAATTTCGTCATCGCGCTCACTTCCATGGTCGAGTGATGGCGTCATTTGTCCTTTCAGATTCAACAATTTCTCCATAGACTTCTCAAGATGAACTATGTATTCCTTTGCTCGATATAATAAATCAGCTTTATTCAAACAACGGTTGCTTCTACTGTATGGTAAATCAGAAAACATTCAATTCTCAAAAAATTTTATCCACTGAAATTTAAAATTATAATCTGGTCTACCTTTTGTTGCAATGATCATTATTTACACCTGGTATCGACATTCTTAATTTTTGATAGCATGTTGCAACATTCAATCTAAAAAAATTGTAGTAATGAAAAATAAGTATGAGTAGTTGACTTGTTAACAATGCTGTCAGCGATATTTTCCCACAAATCAGCGTGAAAAAAGTTGACTCTGAGAAATTCGGCAATAGCGTAGGACTTCGACTGCCGGCACTTTCCCGCTTGTACAGTAAAAAAGGTTTGAGAATAGGATGCCGATAGATTTACCTCTAGTTCTTTTAGTTTTACATTTACCACGTTACAATGGACTTACTTAGACTTCGAGGCTTGGCCGAGAACCCTTGTTTTACCATCTTGTCATGCTTTGTAATCATCCGTTTTTACCTTAGAGTTAAATTCCCGTATGCACAGGAAAAGGGGTATATTTTATTTATAGCCTACCTGTGTTTCGCCTGCGATGCTCTTCTCCTTTTCTTCATGGAAGAAGTATATTCAGTCGGTTTAGTTTTCCTAGAAGCTCCTAAATTCAAGTTCATTCCTGGTTTGCCCATTTCGAACAGAGTAGACTACTGAATAGGCAAAATATTTGATAATTTACTGTAGTATTTAGTGGTTAAAACTGGTCGATTCTTTATCACAGTTTCATAGAAAAATCAATGATATATGTAAATATCCAATAGTATTTATTGTTTAATTGTCGTAAGACACAAATCTACTGCGGAGCACTCGATCTCTTGGATCCTACAAGACCCATACCAATTTTTTTTGACATTGTGACGTTTATGACTGCACGTGTTCCTTCATGCATCATTGGGCTAGTTAGCGTAGAGTTGCCATACAACAAAATTTTCCCTGACATGTACGAGATTTTAGGGATCAAATTTGCCACAGGGAGAAATGTTAAAAAATTGCCCAAATGTAAGGGGTTTTCGAATACAGTGAATCCCTGCTACAGATGCTCGAGTTCAGATATTGCGCATCCACGAAATCAGAGTTATGTCCCACGAAAGAATATTTGTGCAACACGGATTGCGTTGCATAACTAGTATGTCACGTATGACCTGAATGACCCCGGCATTTTGTAATAGATATTTTGCTTGCACTACTTGCACTTTATTCCGTTCTGGGGTTCAGTTAGTCACTAGTGATAAAGATTAAGCAACAATTTTGCTCCTTTCGTTTTGTTCAGAATTTATTCTATTCTCACGCGAAAGCGACGGCATATTGTGCCTTTGGATACATCGATGACATCGAGTCAAACACTGATACCGGTAAGCGTTAGAATACAATTGTTCGTTCAGGATACCGTATGATTTTGGAGGTGAAATTTCGTTTTGATCTTCTTGTCCAAATATTTGGGCATTCCCCTCTTGTCTTCATAATGATTTCATGTGGCAGAATAAGATTTCGTATTTATAGGCGGTAAGGAGTCCATCAATCCTCTCCTATATAATATAAATATACTCGGTGGCGAGTGGCTACGTTCAGCTATGTTAGCGTAGCCATGTGTTGTTTGCACAGATGTTAGTTCTATTGTAACTGTCGATGACGGTTATATCTGAGATCCAAATTTATGAAAAACTTGTTGTATTGCAACAGATGTCGAACGCTTTGTGTACTTCTGAATGAAATCGTTCCAAGATGTTTTTTACTTATGTAAATATCTTAGTTGCTGTAACATACCTTTTTAAAAGCCCCCCCCCCCCCCCCCCCCGCCAAAAATTGTAATTATCCAGGTAGAGTTAGGGTGAGGGTCCGAGGGCTTGGGATGTAGATTGCGCTGTAAATTCAAATTTATTAACTTTTTTTTTAATATGTAGCGAAGATGTTTTTTCCAAATCTAAAATTTTTGCATTAGTGTGGCTTCTTACAAAATATGCTATTGATTTTAAGTTGGATATTTGCGACAATGATCATAAAATCTACTAGTAACCTACTGGTCACACCGTATCTCTAATTTTTCAAAACAGTGGTCGGCCAACAAATTGTTGGTGACTTCTACACGACCTCTCTCCTAATGCATCAACACAAAAGTTGATCATAACTTTGATTTCTTAAATTTGTCATTGAAATGCCAGGAAACACAAGATGGTTGGTGACAAGGTTCGAGCATTCCGAAGTGCTTGAATGGACAAATATTTCTTTGATGAGAATATTCAAGACCTGTTTGCTTGGTCAGTCAAACCAGCTGCGAGTGCGCCATAATTTGAAGTCTATTGCAACGATGGTTTGTTTGCTAGCGTGAATATGTTTATTTGACCCAGTAGTGCATAAAATATTCCTACCCCTAGATTTTAACACAAACCTTTTATCCATAATTGATTATCTTCGAAGTTTAGATATGAATTACTTGTGTTGTCATTTTGTCAACGCTTTAAATATATCGATTTTCAAAGTTAACATATTAGTACTCCCGTAGTGTGTGGGGACTATCCGTGTTAGCTAAGTGAATATACCCCCCTGCCAGTGTTCCCTCTAAGAAATTTTCACATTGCGCAAATGTTGTTTTTACTGAGCAAGACTATTTTAAGGTTGAGCAGAGCAAACATCGCACACATATCATTGCTTTCATCAACAGGGTATGAAATTTTGTTTGTCTTATGCAAGATTTAATTCCTGACGCCAACGGTTATGCTTTTCAGAAATTCGAAGCCGTAATTTAAGCTTGCCATCAATGTGGCAATTTGGTGTATTTTGACATATGACTATTTATTTCTTCGTGGGACAATATTGATGAATTCAGCTTAACACGTGGTAGAACACTATCGATGGGAAGCTTCATTTCACTTGACGAGTTTTCAAAACTCCATTCTCTTCAAAGCAATAGGAATAGCAATAAATTTCGGAAATGTTTTGGTTTCTGCGAGACTAACTACTTATCCTTCCTCTATGCTTTTGTGTCGGCGGATCCGTATGCATATAGTGCAAGGATGCTGTAGCAAGAGTAAAGATAACTATCCTAAGTGATTCAAGAGTCTTGCTGCACACTAACACAAATATATTTCTGTAACGTTTCGTCTGACCAAGGTCAGACTTCTTCAGACATACATAGTTCAATAGTTGATACTGATATCATGATTGCAAATTAGTGTCTCACGGTCAACTGTTGTATTTATCCATTCCACTCTAAAATCAATATTCTTATAATAATTTAAAGCCCTTAATAATCTTAGACCTTAACAAGGACGCGTCTCTTCACCCATCATTTCTCAATCTACTACCAGTCTCACGGAGGGTTTGTTTGAGTCATTTTATTCATGTGACTCAAGTTACTTTGAGTCTTTAATGGACGGTGACTCCAGTTTAAATTTGTGCCGATATCATACCAGATTTATTACAAAGTAGAAGAAGGGTGCCCTCATTATAGCAAGTCAATTTGTGAAGTAATTTACTAACTTTATCGACTAAAATTTAATTTTCTGTTGCAGGAATGAGAGGGTATCAGAAGTAGAATCTTTATTTTAGTTGAATCGCAATGATATTGCTTAGTGTACGTAGTTTTATTTTTGGCATCAGAATAATTTTGCAACTTTTAGGAAAATATTCACACCGTAATCTTGCACCAGATCCAAAAATGCCCACATCTATAAAGCTATCAATGCTCGTGACAGGGGCGTAGTCACCGGGGAGGTTGCATGGGTCGTAACCCCCGCTTTTGACAATTTCTTCTACAAAAAAAGCAACAGCGTCGTTTTACGGTTACATGTTTCGAGGTCAAAACGACAATTATTCTGTGCCGTATCACCATAGCGCAATTAACACCGCCAGAATTTTTTATCTTTACGATATATATGTTATCTTTTTTAGTTGGTGCTGATAATGATAAATGAGAATGTGTAATTGTTTCAGTAAGGCGTATTATCCTTTCTCTCTATGAAACGAATTCAACCACCGTTATGGGCGCTCAAAAAGAGAAAAGGGTTAAAACCTAATTTAAGGACTTTCTTTTCCCGAATCAATCACTTTTATAAATACAATATTGTTCGCTTAAAATTGGGACCGTAATTTACAAAACTGTGATACAAATTCATCACAGAAGATAAAAATCAGAATAAAATTGATTTGTGTTGTGAATGCACTCCTTAGTAGTTGTGAACTCACAATTCTGTCCAAAATATGAAACCAAACTACGCTGTTCCAATTTAACCGTAACCCCCCAATTTTGTTAGAAAAAGCCTGAAATTGTACGTACGTCTACGACAAAAATAAAATTCTAAAATTGTACGAACGTCACTGACAAAAATACTGTTGTTCTAAATCTAAGATATGAAAATTACGACATGTAAACAATGTTTTAATTTTCTCTAATTCGCGAAATTTTGAGTCCTGTCTGCCAAGCGGATAATTTGCCTCGACTGCCCTCCCGAATTCACAAATTTTAACTATATGTCCTATAACATATGTTACAATTATCGATCTTCATTTCTTTCATTAATTTATTCTTTTTGCTTTGTTGTCAAAATTATGTTGGTGCATTACGCGCCAGAAAATATGGTGTGACGTATGAGGTGTATATATAGTTTAGTATAGGTTCACCCATTTTGAAGGGGGTGTCACACTCGCAAAGAGAACGGGAAGGCACTGACAAAGTTGAATTGAAACGTAGAAACTTGTTTATTCAGTATGAGTGTGTATAGCAGTGGTTCTCAATCTTTTATGGCTCGTGGCCCCCTTTCAGCCCCTTTTTGCACTCGTGGCCCCCTGTTTGCCATTTCTATAAAACTAAACATGTTGGATTGTATTATGTATTTAGGACCTTTTATGGAATGCAAAAATAAACCACTGGCAAGAAAGTCCAAGCTTTTGATTATACAATCAATGGGAATTTTGCACTTGGGATTGTCTGAAGAGGTTTCCTATATTAGGCACTGTCTTCAATATAGCCAGACCAAATTCGCACAATGGGTCGTGGCAAATTAAACTAGCAGTGAAGTCTTTTCCTCCGACAGAAACCCTAACTTGGCCAATGTTGTTTTTTAGTCAAATCTGACTCGCTTGGCAGCCAAGAAACCGTCAACGTCTTTCAACTGAGAATGATTTTTCTCACGGTGGTTTTGGAGTTTAGATTGGTGTATGTAATGATTCATTGTTCATTACGTACGAGCAATGCAGGCATTGAGCACATTGGTGAAGCCAAAACCGACGTAACTCTCGTTCCATTTCCGTGTTTTGGGCCATTAGCAATTTACAAATATTACCTCGCAATCTAGTGAAACCGCCCGTCTGCAGGTTAAGATGCTTTTCGACTCTCGACACCCTTTTTCTCCCTTCCAACCCTTGCAACAACAACAACTTGCAAAAGAGTTAGTAAACTCTGATTGTTGACTGTACTGTGAGTATTTGGGATTCGCTGCTGCACTCTCCCAACTCTCCGCACCTCTCAACTAAGCGGTTTTTGGACACGTAGTGGACATAACGATCGTTTCAATATTATGTTGTTGTTGTTCTTGTTCTTGTTCTTGTTCTTGTTGTTCTTTGACACGTTTTTAAAAAGTCGCTTTTCTCTTCGAATACTGGACCAATTGCTTTGAAATTTTCAGTGGTTAAAGATTAATTTTTTCGCTAGAAGGCTATTACTTTTGTTTATTCTTAAATTTTATATGAATCCTATAAGATATGATATTTCATACAAAATTTCGCGGTATTTATTTTTACTCATGGGAACACTGTTTTACACTTATTTCAAGCGGTTTCGCGATCGATTGTCTTGCTCAGTACTACAGCTACTGTAGGTCGGTACTGGTAAGTTGCCATACAGCACAGGTACCGTAACGCAGTGAAATTGACTTATTCCTTCCGCGGTATTACTAATGCTGCAATGCGAGTTTTATAGCCTATCGTATGCGGAACGGAATATCAGACCTACAGGTTCGGTACCGGTACTGGTAGCTCAGTACGTAAGTACGATACTGGTACTGGTGCCGGTACCAGTGTCTTACCACAATGAAATTACCGTAACTTATTCTTTCACGGTCCTACCAGTGCAGTAATGCAAGCGTTGTAGCACTTGTAGCCTACTATATTTGTTTATTTTGATGAGAGTCTACTGGAAACAACATAAAATTTGAAAGGGAAGAATTGTTCTGGGATCAATTATCTGTCCTAAAGTGTAAACAACATAAAATTTGCAAGGGAACAACTGTTCTGTGATCAATTACCGTATATGGCCTACAGTGTACAGGTAAGATGCTGCCTGACTGCTAACTCAGTACCGCCTGACACGTTTTTAAAAAGTCGCTTTTCTCTTCGAATACTGGACCAATGGCTTTGAAATTTTTAGTGGTTAAAGATAAAAATTTTCTCCAGAAGGCTATTATTTTTTTTTTCGCTATGACGTCATCAAAATTATGTGACTCTACGTGTCCATATATTTGAGCATAGCTCTCTTGTTTCTTTTACCTTTCTTGTTTCACTTTTTGCCCGTACCTGTTGGATTCGCTGCTACTTTACTACTGAGCGAGCTTCGATAACTTCTTGCGCTGGTCTCGCTGATTTTTTTTTCACTCTCTCAGTGCCTCCGTCTTCTTCCCACTCTTTCTTTTTCCTTGATGATGGACGGCATAATTACTTACGACAACAACTCACTTTTGCCGGCACCTTTCTCCCGCACCTTGCTCATGATGAGTGCCTCCGTCTTCTTCCCACTCTTTCTTTTTCCTTGATGATGGACGGCATAATTACTTACGACAACAACTCACTTTTGCCGGCACCTTTCTCCCGCACCTTGCTCATGATGATGCTTGCTGCTCAGCCGGTCTGCTGCTGCTGGCCTGGCTGCACTCTCGCACCGTTGGGGCTGGTTTGCTCGCCGGCTCCCTTTCCTCCCCCGCACCCCTCCTCTCAACAACTGACCAGTTTGCTTGCCCACTGTTGTGGCTGCTGTTGGCCGCCTTTCTTATTTTACGATGGATGCTTGCTGCTCAGTCGGCCTGGCTGCACTCTCGCACCGTTGGGGCTGGTTTGCTCGCCGGCTCCCTTTCCACCCCCGCACCCCTCCTCTCAACAACTGACCAGTTTGCCCACTGTTGTGTGGCTCACTGTTTTTCACTTGCTCGCCTGCCCAGCACCCATCCCTCTCTGAGGATCGCTGCTGCACTCTCTCTCAACTCAGCGGCCTGTTTTATTTACTGCACTCCCCCGTAGCATATATCCTCTAAACTCTCAGCACTGCTGCGCTCTCTTCAACTCTCCGCACCTCATAATCCTCTGAACTGAGCGGTTTTCTTTACTGGCTGTTGGATTCGCTGCTGCACTCTCACAACGCAGCGGGCCTGTTGCTGCACTCTCCGCACTCCTTGCTGCTGCACCTAACCTTTTTTTCACTCTCAGTGCCTCATTCCCAGGCTTTTTCTTTTTCCTTTACAATCAATGGCCTTTGTTTGTTGCACACTCCTCCTCACTTTCGCCGTCATCTTTTCTGCTCCCATTCTCCCTCCCCTGCACCCTTAGCCGGTCTGCTTCCCTATCCCCCGCTCTTCATCCTCACAACTGAGCGGCCTGCCGACTATGATTGATTGGCTCCTGCACTCTCGCTTGCCCTGCGGCCCCCATTCCCCCTCGGCCGCTGCTGACCCATCCCTGCAACCCTGCCTTGCCTGCCCATTCCTACAACCCTGCCTACCCTGCTCTCCGTCTTCCTCCGTCAACTTGTCATGCCTGCTGGTTCATTTCTACAACTGCGTCTACCTTATGGGATTCGAACCCCTGGCCTGATGTTTCACCATGCCCCTACGCTTCCCCTGCGCCACCGCTACTGACGAGGATTGAGTTGAGCAAGATCTTACTTAATTAACGACGTCACGCTTGGCAGCCGACGACTAGACTTACCCCGAGAACATTACGTTTTGATGCCCGTGATATCCTGTTTAAATTTGTGGCTCATATTACTTCGTTCACTTTTATCAGAAAAATGCGTTGTTATGCAATCATAGCGACAAGACGCATAAGATATTTCAAATTAGTAAATCTGCAAACCAAATTTCTGACTGTGAATGGAGGAATTCTAAGACCGGAAGACGGTTCATCAACCTGATATTTCTGTCTCCCACTCTCCTGTGCCAACTGACCGTCTGATCTCTGCTTTACTGTTTCTTGATTTATGAAACATCTCAGTTTGAAATTCATTTTCGCAGCGTCATGCTTCTTTACAAATTGAAACAATAATATACACATTAGAAATAAAACGAAAAACACCGTAAATTCTGTCCTAAAGGCTCCGCGACAGATCAAGATTGCTACCGCAGTCAGTAAAGATCAAACACAGTAAATTGCGCCAGCGATGTACCTTTCAATTCATTCTTAGGCTACACGTCACATTTCCTCAGATTCTGATGAAAAAAAAATATACGCTAATCAATGCAGGTTTAAATCCTGTGGACGTCACCACATGTGAATGGATTACACGCTGCAAGGTAGTTCGCGTAGCCCTGGGGTCGGCAACCTGCGGCCCGCGACGATTCATTGAATTATAGCGACAGAACTGATCAGGCAAGTACCCGGCAATTTTTGAGGAGGTAGAACCCTGGATTCTTTCATTTCCGACCTCTCATATGGTGAAAATGGGTTTTCAGCCGTGACACTCTTGCTATCAAAACCACGAAATTGCCTTTCCATCAGTAAACGGAGTGATTTGAGATTGTGCCTGACGAAAATGTCACCAAATATTAAAAAACTCGCTGAAGACCACTAAGTTCATCCATCTCATTAAAAAACACTATGAACTATGATTTGTTTATTTGGTCTGTAATTTACACGTTTCTGATTTTACATTTTTTTATAGCGCCGGGGATGATGAAGTTGCACGCGAGCCCATTTATTCGGCACGCGAATGAGGACTCGGAAACGAGATCATTCTCCTTTAGATAATAAGTTTCAAGACAAGAATTATCTGATGAAAAAAAAATATATTATGACATATCAACTGAGTGAGCTCTGGACAAATTTTGTCGAGAAGAGCGCAGCATTCATTTGGCTAAATTCTTACATAATATAGTTCACCTGTGCCACCCTTTTTCTCCGTTTCTGCTTGATTTATGGAGTTGTACAGCTGAAGTTGGTTAGAGTTACTCACAAACTTATTGTTTAGAAATTGATTTAGAAAGAAATATAGGCGGTTAGTGAAGGGAATACAAGAGAGAAGTGCAGAAAACAAATATTGCGTGATTGGGATGTCATGCCCGGAAATATTTCGTCCCCTAAAAACATTGCAACTGCATTACTCTCCATGTTTTATTCTACATATACTTGCGGATCTCTGATTTCAGTTATAAACTTTATTAATTCTCGTAACAGAAGTAGTCTAAAACATGAAACCAGTAGTTCGTGTATTTCTTTGAAAGTTACAAAATAGAAACCCAACGTCAAATCTCTATCAGCGGTAATGCAGCAGCAGATGTCTCACTGATAAGAAAAGTAATTACATATATTTGTCGGACTGATATTTTCCCGAATAGTGAATCTGTCTGTACATGTTTTAAAAGGTTTATTATTGTGTATTTTTGCTTTGAAAGTAGCAAAGAATTGTTTTTAATTTTGGTCGACACTCGAAAAGGTTGCCCACCTCTATTTTATACTTTGCACAAAATTGACTCCCCCTACGAGGTTACTGGTTGTGCCCCTGGTTTCAACCGTTTAAAACTTTGGGGTTTGACGCAATCCCCAGAGTTATAAAAGGGTCATAATGGCTCGAAAAGGTTACGAATCAGTTTTGTAAAAGTTAACGCTGAATCGGGGCTTTCAAAACTTTTACAGTTCGATGCAAGCCCGCCGCTTCTTTGATCCCATATAATTTTTCAAAATCGTGACATTTATACTTTGCACTAATTTTAATAGTTGTGTTTTGAATCAAAAGTATAAGATTTACGTTAGATATACCGGTAGTACTTTGTGAGTGAAATTCGAGTACTCTTTGTAACCCCAAAACTTTGTTGCTGCGTCTCACCTGCGGTGCCGGGACTCCAGTTTGGGAAGCTCTGCGTTAAATCGAATTTTTATCAGTTGTTATCATCGGTATGCACTTATCTCGAAAAATTAGATATGATCTCCACATGTAACCCGATTATATTGCATTGTATGTTATATCTCCAACGATTGGTTTGGACGGAGAAATTAGTGTAAATTGGACATTCAAACAATCACAAGTGGTATTAAAAATAAAATTTTCCATTAGTCGGCCATTACCTTTATTTACCTCTAACGTGTCCATATATTTGAGCATAGCTCTCTTGTTTATTATATGTTCCCCAATTAGAATATTTTTAAATATGATATTTTTGCCACTAGGTTCGTTAAGGGGATTCCCCTTGTTATCTTCCTGTTTGATGCGTGATTTGTTTTTTTGTGTGGGATATGTCTTCATAATCATACGGGGGCCAGGTACTCACCTTGTAATAAAGCCTTAACCTCTGATATTCTTTAAAACGTATTCATGCTATTTGCAGTTTCGAAAATATCATGCCTTTCTGATGAACATGTTCACCGTAGACAGATACAAATCTGTACATAGACTTCTAAACTCGGAAACTCAATCATACTGTCATACCAGCATACAGTTTCAGAGTTTGAAGGAGTTTTACTTGTACTGGAAACTCAATCATACTGTCATACCAGCATACAGTTTCAGAGTTTGAAGGAGTTTTACTTGTACTTTTAAGGTTTTATTCAGTATAATCATCTTCTTTCAAACTTTCTCACAATCATCATCTCAATCATGGGCAAGTTGGTCATCTGATGTTGTAGAGTTCTGTCAGTCTGTGGTTGTTGAAACGATTTTGTCATTTCATATTACTGTATTATGAATAATAAATTTAATTAATACTTATGTTTTTCCTTTCATTATCAAGCATTACCTTCATTTATATTGAGTTACCTATTATTACACATTACGAATTTGCTAAACTAACTAAAATTTTGCGATGAGAGTCGGAATAGTGGGATATGGTCATCTTGGTAGGTGTCAATTGAAAGACAAATGTATTTGACTCTGGGTAATGGTTCATATTTTCAAATATCTGGACATGAAGATTATTTTATCCTGGTATATGTCCATAAAAATTGTTTTGGTTGTAGTAAATTTGCTTTGGCACATGTTATACCAGTCTGACATCTTTACTTCCTGGTTTTTCTGAATAATTCAATTGAGTTGCTATAGAATTTATTAATTATGTCATAACTGCATGGTGGTGTGTAAAATTTTCTATTTTCACCAGCTAAACTGTCATAACTCACAAATAGTTGTTTCAATATTTACAGGCCAATATCTAGTTGAAAGAATACAAGAAGTTGGAACTGAGCATGATATTGAAATTGATTTCGTTTGGAATCGATCAACAGATAAACTTGAAGGGAAAGTTGAAAAGAGCCTGATTCTTGAAACATTGGAAGATTGTTCAACGAGGTTCGTTTTATTTTGAATGACTCTGAAACGATAAAAAGACATACTAGTCATTTTTATCGGGCAGTCAGGTGATTAATTGGTAAATAATTTAACTAGTAGGAATCACTCTTTGAATTGCTTTTTATTACATAGTGTCATTCTTCACCTTTTACATTTTAAATTTGTGGTGGCCAATTTTTTAACCAGAGATATATTTAATCGCTGGCATGCAATAGACCAGGGTGGTCCAAACCCAGGCCGGCAAGCCACATGAGGCCCGCCGCTTCATTATCTGTGGCCTGCGTCGCATTTGCACGAGGGTAAACAAAAATTCGCATTTGGTGTTGTTTCGTCATCAAAGTAACCAGAAAAATCGTTTGACATATTGTTACATCACTAATTTCACTGAATTGACTAGTGTTTTGGCTAGCTGAGGCAACTAGCAAAGTTGAACGATGTGCTTGGCAGTCTAAATTTTTATCTGGCTTTTCATCTTTTTGGTCGGTAATATATGCTAACAAAATAGGCTTCATAGAAAACTAAAAATCGCATTAGCAATCTATTAGCCTAGGTTGACTATGCCTGATAACTAAATATTAATGTTATGGCCGAACAAAACAATTCTCGCCAGGTGTTTTTTTGTAACCAGCCTAAACAGTATTACAAAAAATACTGCCAATATGTCAGAAAATTTAGTACCAGTTATTACCCTCCTGTATCTCAAATTTGGTAAAATTCGGTAATCAATCAATCTGTAGTTCATTGTGAGTTATTTTGAACACCAGTTCGAAAATAAAGCTGACCAATTCAAACATATGTTTGACTGGGTGTGGGAGGGGAAATACCACAATGCGTGCTTGATATGTCTGCAAGTTGTGTCGGTGACAATCTAGTATGGCAGTTTCTCTATATGACAATATTTCGTTATGTAAAGTTTGAAATCTTACACTAAATAGAGATATAGTTAGATTTTTGCACTTTTTAGTGAGTTTTTTTGTGGTTTTTGCATGCTTTAGCTTAAAAATATGTCAAATGATGATCTATGTATTTGACAATAGAAGGGTGTTTGTTTTCTATTGCACTGTTCACATATTCTTGGCACTTTTGTGGCCCGCGACCAATACAAAAATAATAATAAATGGTCGACAACCTTGGACCACCCTGCAATAGACCAATCCTTTCCATCAAGTCTGAACAATATTGTGATGTCATATCATTGGGTTATGAGTATGCTATATTTTCTGTTTGAATTAATGTGTCGCTGTCATGTTAACTTTATAGTTTATTCACGACTCCTCGTCTATTGCAGTCGAATTATTGTACGTCTGTTATTTCAATTGATTTATTTTACTGTTTATTTGTACAATATTTCATGCACGACGGAAATCTGATTTTATCAACCTCACAAATTCATGTCTTTGTGTCACATTTTTTGACAACATACAACAATGCATACTGCTTAGTATGGCCTGTAGTCCTGTTTTGAATTCAACACCTTGTATATTTAGGAAAGTTGATTTGATTGTGGAAGTCTGTCATCCTGAAATATGCAAGAACTATGGTGAAAAGTTTCTGCAACACTGCAATTTATTTGTTGGTTCGCCAACTGCATTTGCTGATCAAGAAACAGAGAAGATCTTAAGATCTGCAGTTGTTAAATTCGGACATTCATTATATGTACCAAGTGGTGCACTATGGGGTGCTACAGATATTAAAAAAATGGCTGACCGGGGCAGTTTGAAGGTATGGTGACTGATGATTTTTCAGAAATTATTCAGATTTTTTTTTTGGAAAGTTTAATCTCTTACGCTGTGCTCAGAAAGTATATGAATCTATCAAAATCAGCATCAATATATATTATGTGAGGAGCTTTTATATTTAGAGTACCGGAATATTTCCTTTTTGACATTGCCTACCCATTTACCATCATGCCTACATTAATATATTTTCTTTATGTCCGTTTTTTCGCTCCAAACAAGGCTGCGAACAGGCAACCACTGTTATATAAGGAGCTATTATGTTGAAGACTGGATACTCTCCTGTTTGGCGTTTCCTACCCATTTATGCTCAGCGTGAAATTTGAACCCTGTGGTTCCAACATACTCAACGCTAATGTTGGCTACTAAGCCATCACACTAATATTTACTAGTTTATTATGATTATCCAATAACAATATGAAATCTGAATATTAGGGATTGAAAGTTACAATGAAGAAACATCCAAGTTCATTTAGACTTCATGGAAATCTTGAAGAAATTAATTCAACTGCTTTTCAAAGTAATCATCCTGTCACTCTTTATGAAGGACCAGTCAGAAAGCTATGTCCACTTGCGCCAAATAATGTGAACACAATGGCTGCAGCTGCAATTGCTGGACATAATCTGGGATTTGATGAAGTTGTTGGGTGTTTAATTTCTGATTCAAGGTACTGTAATTTATATGTTGTTAAGATTTACTTGAGTTAACTGAAAAAATAGAAATTGAACTGGCAACCTCTCTCTGGTGTTAACCTCAAACTTGGTACTACTGAAGATGAATGGATCATACTTATATGTTAACAAATGCCTATAATTTCATGAACTAACAGTTGATACAATCAAACTAGAATGTATTGGGAGCCCTCTGTGGCACAAGTTGTCTCAGATATGCAGTCAATATGTAATGCTAATGCGTTTGATATAAAGGATCGTATTGATTCAGGTTATCGACTATCATATTCAATTCATGTTTCCTTCAAGTTGGTAGTTGAAGTGTACTATCAGTATACCGGTACTGATATGCCACCATATAAATACAGGAGCAGAAAGAGAATTTTATATAAGAGAATAGATGCTTGACATGACAAAATCTTATGAATTGGTGTTTGTAAAAAGATGTTGCAGACCGATTACGAGCGATCCGTTCTTCACAACAGTGTCATTTCGATACTTTACTTATTATAGAAACTTTGATATTACATGTTTTTTACTGAAGTGACAAATAAAATAAATCTGACTCTAGTTTCCCCAAATGATTATAAAGAAATTAAGTTGTATCCTTTCGATTTGATAATAATTTCATATCAGTGTAGTAACAATCCTATTGTGCTGTTCATAGTAAAAAATAAATAGGTCATATATTGATTGTTATTTTCAGTCTTTTAGAATGGCATATAGTGGAGGTGGATGTGCTCGGACCAACAAATAGTGATAATGGTAACACATTTAATGTTACAACAACAAGAAAAAATCCAGCATCAGCTGGAGCTGTTACTGGAAATGCAACTTTTGCCTCATTTTTCAGCAGCTTAATACGTTAGTATCATATTTTCTCGCTTGCCAATTATTATTAGTAAATGGAATTTCAATTTAAAAATTTTGAGCTGTTGATATACCTAATGTTTTACAAGGTTACAGTAGATTTGCAATGTTTGAGCTTAGATTGTTAAAATTTAACCTTACATTCACGTAGGTCTTATGCTATATATCAATAATTTTGCCTCCAAATCTATTTAGATATCTCATCTATCCTATGTCCAACCTTATCTTCCCCCGAATCCATGCTGTAATCTTGCCACACACTGACACTACTTTCAATTTTGCAGGTGCCCGAAATCAAGGATCTGGTATACACATGTGCTAATGCAATATTTTTTAATTTAATCATAACGTTAGTGATAGTCTTTAATCATTGGTGATAAGGGTAATGGATTATAGCGATTTGAATGTAAAAAGATTGCAGAGAAGTGGCGGTCAATTATCTCATACTCACCTGCATACAACTTCAATCTCAAACCTTTTAATACTGTTGTAAACCGCCATTTGTCACACACATCTGTAACCCAAATGACAATACTGTATATAATTATATTTGAATTTTTGCCTTCAATCCTAATCTACCTGAATTCATTAGTTCAAAATATTCAATGGCGTCGAGTATGGTATTGTAGAATTGGCCGTCTGGTCATAAGTAGCCATATCTAATATTCCGGATAACTTTAATAATATGTTTCGCTTGCAATCAGAGCTTTTTTGTTGTGTATCGTTTTACAATTTTTATTGCCAAAAGATATCATTCCCATTTCTTGTTTTATCTACACCGTTGTTGCAATATTTCGTATCTTCAATAATAATTATTTGCTGACAATCATAAATATATTCTGTGCAATGAACGTATTTAAGTTTCTGCTCATCGAATCTTGGCTGTGGGTATTCAGAGGATTTGACATCAAACTTTGTTCGTTAGGATTTACATATTTATCCCGGTGGAGTAAGACCGATAAGACGGCTTAATTATATGGCGAACCAGGGCCTCTCGTCTGGCTTCCAGTCCATGTCGGGTATGGGATTAGTTTGGCGGTTATTTGCTTTCGTGAGCAGCATGGACTGGTTTTCGTCTTATAATTGTTCGCCCATTTTTTGTATTTTGCTCCTCCATGGACAACTGCTATTTGAAGTTAATAGTTTAAACGGATTTGTCAAATACCAGGCTCGTCCCATCCCTGATATGCGGACGAATCCTTATTTTCGCACAGGTAAAGTCGAGTACGAGATATTACCTCGGTCATGATTTTAGTGCGCATATATATAAAGCTCAAAACTACACAATACCAGCCAAAAATTGTTAGACTTGCAGAAGTACCCACAGTCTTATTTTCTACAGTGAAAAAAAAAATGAATCGTCGAATAAGAGGTTTATTTACCATCCCTGGTATATATGCATACATGTCAACACATATATTTATCCGATCAATATCTTTGTTATGTATACGATTTTCGTCATTTCATATATATATCAGTTTTCACATCCCTCCCAAAATATCGATGTATTCAATATCCATGCGTCATTTCAATAAACAGCACGTTCGTAGTATCGATACGAGATGCGCTATTCGTGCTCCCATGTTATAAAATTCCGTGCATCGTTTTTGTTATAATTGTCGAAAATCTACAAATAAGTACGGCAACGCGGCATTAGTTTGTATTCTGTTTGTCTTCAATTTTGTACTTTGCCATTACAGAATTTAAAAGACATAAAATACCCATTAACGATCACAAAATTGAGTGTTATTCAAAAGCAGCATTTTTTCGTTTAAGTTCGCTGGGAGTTTTTTTCCCTGATAATTTGGCGCCGTACGAACGAAAAGTTTGGGAACCGCTAAACTGGGGCGCCGTTTGAATAGGGAAACGAGATAAGGCTTATTATAACGAGGGCGAGGTACCGCTGGACGCAACATGATCGTGAAGTAAACGTCTCCTTGGATTATTACTACTCGGATTCGTCGAATCCGCCCAGTACCAGTCTAGAATCTCACCCATAGTATGTGCACGATTATTAGACTTTCGGAAGGACCGGCTGTATTCAATTCCACAATAAAAATAAAATTTTCGAGCTGTTGAATAAAAGAGGTTCATGCCCACTGGTAGTATGCGTGATGAAATGCACATATCTCACATTCCGTATGTCAACAGCATATTTGAAAGAACAATACCTTTGTTATGTATACACTTTACGTCATTTCAATAAACAGGTTTAACAGCCCTAGAAGTATTGATGTATCTATCTATATGTCATTTACAACAAGCTTTTAGTATCAATATGAATTGTTCGTGTTCCCGTGGTATAATATTCCGTGCATCGTTTTTGATGTGATTGCCCAATGTTTATAAATGAGCACGGCAACACGGAATTAGCTTGTATTCGGTAGGAGTATTCTGTACAGTTAGGATTATCCAAATATGGGTCGCGCCAAGGTCGTCAATGCAAAGGCGAAGTGAGAGAGGAGGGACGAATTTTTCAGCTTGCCCAAGGTCTCAATTTAGCTTCCTAATTCTGGTATTTAAAAACAGTGAAATATAAAATTTGCATTTACTGAAAGAAATGTCTTGAGCGCATTGTTACATCACAATTCTGATATGCTAGTCACGTGTTTTATTTTATGGGGTCGGTAACCATGCACCGTCAGTTGTCGTTTTGTTGACCGCTAGGAATGTCGTCTTACTGGACCTAGACCAGTACCTGGATGTCACTGTCATATTAGCAAAACTAGCTAGCAAAATACACAATGTTATAAAAACTTGTTTCTCACTGAATTTGTTTGAATTTGAATAGCTGATTTTTTAAGAAATTTATGCGTTTCAGCTCAACATTTTTAACCGCTAACAAATTATCAATGCCGTAAGATCAATAACAAAAAGAAACAAATATTTATTCCCGCGCCGCATAAGGCTCTGTCTGCGATTACGTTAAAAATGAAATAATTGTAAAATATATTATTAAAATTGTAAAATATATTAACAAAACGTGGACGGCATCGCTAGAATATGTGCGCCCTATTCGGTATTCTTATAAACACGAAAAATGTTATTCGAAGGTCGAAATATTCGATTATTAAATTCAAATTGGACATTCCTGCTTCCAGCAGTGCATTAATTTAACCTAAAATAAACAAATATCACTACACCCGTTTTTTGGTTTTCGCGACCTCACTCAGTTACTTTATATGGCCCTCGTGTAATAAAGGCACACCCCTGAATTAGATGATTCAAGATCTACAGAAAATGTGACTTCAGCGCGAGGCACCATTTACTGCGAATGAAGCATTGTGTGCACATTTGATGAGTGAAATGTCGTATATAGCGAGAGATACCGAAAACCAACTTGGATGTGGTGTCTGCGATGGACAGCGGACGACATTTCTGCTACAATTCGCGACAAGGTATGTTTGCGAGCAACGATTTTCGTCATCGACTGTTATTACAACTATGGTCGCAGTCGTTTCGGTTCTCGTGACGACTCGCGTATTGCGTGAATAGAGCTGTGTATTGAAGATATAATAAAAAGGAAATTTCAGTTTCACCAATCACACTGCGCCAATCGACTGTTTTTAATAATTCATTGTCTGTATTTGAGTCAAACAGTACTAACATTAAAAATGCATTTTTGCAATGTTTCGGATTGCGTCGCGAGTATTCAGAAATTTTTGATTTAGGTCGCAAAGTTTAAGAACCACTATTCTAGTGGCTGACGTCAAAAGTATTTTACATACTTTAATAAAAGCGCCACCCGTCAGTGTTTTCATCAATTTCTATAACATGCGGAACCAGGATATCTCTTAACCAAATCTTATTTTATTATTAAAGTATAAGTGATAACAAATGCTGCATTGATAAGGTCTAATGAATATGTTTTATGCAAATACCGCAGTTAACTGGGTTCTTGCTTTGCTGATTGTATTATCAACAACGTTTGCTTGTGAACTGGGATGCAACTTACAAAAACCACCATATAATGTTGACTGGTCGAAGGTGATGATAAAATTGTTATCAATTTTATATGAAATATTTAACGAGCAGGAAACACTATTCAACATGAGATCTATGCTCAGGCCCAATCCAATGACTAACCACAGTACTGGTATCCTATGTGACTTGCACTGAAGCCTGTTATCTGATCCTTCAAATCCAATTTGCACATCAAGTCCCACCGCCGAAGGCATAAATATTGGAGTCAGTAAGGCCGGAAAGGTCTTGCATCGGTACCAGTACTGTGAGGTCCAATGCACCTAGTTTGCTCTACTGAAAAGATCGGTGTACAATCGTGATGAAGAGGGCCAAGAACAATTAAATAAAAAGTATGCATGATGGAATAAAAATGCTCCCCTTTACTTAAATAAAACAGCAACAAATATCGGGTCTCATGAGACCCAGAGAAAATTTAAACGTTTTTATTCTGAATCTTAATTTTCATACTCATAACGTATCTTTTAATAAATCATGATTATCCATATTTTAGATGCCACCGAAGTGGTATTTATCCAGTCACACACCGGATGAAACGTTTTCAAATGTTATAGCCTGTCAAATAATAGAAAACATCACAAATTCTGGACCTGATGATTATCGCATTTTTCTGAAGAACTACTATGTTTCCGGGTATTATTCAATAATTTTTATTTATTTCTGATAAGCAATAATGGAAGTCTTTGAGACTTCTTCCATTGTAATTATATTTATTGTTTTTGTTCATATTTTCGTCATAAAATGAAATACAGAGCAATATGACAACGAGAATATCGGTCAGAGACCGAAGACTTATCGATCGAAAGTTAGGGGATCCCCCAAAGCAGAAACTGCGGTTTCGAGTTATCCACTCTTACTCCACAGCGACACCGTGTGTCTCATCACTAATTAATTAATAACTCGCTAATTATACGACATAATTCATCCAAAATCAGCAGGCTTCTGGTCCGATGAATCCACATACAAAATTTGGAGGAGATTCATCTTCGCTTTCGTGAGATATCGCGTAACATACGAGAGTGTCTAACAGACAAATACCTATCAACATACTCACCGATCTTAAGATCGATAAGTAATTAAGTTGCTTATTTGTTTTGGCAAAACTTTTTCTTATTTTCGATATTTGAAGGGCCGACCCGAGGAGCTTCTGGTTTCACGGACAGATGAAACATGATTCATGCTTTTATTCAGGAACAGGTACTCGCTGATCTATATTTATCTTTTATCAACCTTAGAAATTACTATCATCAATGATTCACTATTCTCTTAGATTGCCTCTAATACGCGTATATTTACGTATATGGACTATGGTATGCTACGGATATTTTTGCTCAAATATTTTTTTATTTTTTTTTCATCAGCGTTCCGAACATCAGTGAATCGTTGCCTTCCACGCAAAATTGCACCTATAACAAACGACTGCTCGCTGCAGTGATCGGGATACCGGAACTGCCAGTTCATTTGAGCGCTGCGTGCCTCGTCGTCGTCTATTTCGTGAGCGGTATACCTATTCGTGTATTATTCGTGCCGCTAATAATTGATCATGTTCACTAAAATTCCTCAGGCTCCCCCAGTTTATGGACTATAGAAATGAAAATGGCTTGTTTGAAAAAGTATTTACAACCGCGGGGGTTAGCTTTCTCGGAATTTAGTTTTTGTGGTAGTTCACGAGTGGTGACAAATTGCGAAAAAACTAGAAATTTCTCAACAATTGGCGTTTTTCGCTGATGACAATGGAAACGGAACATCAATCCGGACTCTCTGTAAAACGCACATAACTAGGGTGATAGTATTAGATATTTCGCCCAGATCGGCCCAGGCGTCCAGACACCACAGCTAAACACACAGTCAAGTCGGGGAGCGTTAGGTCCACCGCTGATAGATAGCATTCAAGCAACCGGTTATCATCCATAGAAACTTGCGGACCTATAACTGCAGCGGGATTAAGTGAGCGGGTTACCAAAACTGACATTTCATTTGGCTACTGCGCGTTTCGTAGACATTCTCGCGTGAGTGATATACTGTAGTTAATATAGGCCGATCTGGAAACAGAACTTCAATACGGACTTTCTATGAAACGCACATTACTATGGTGACTGAATATCCATCGCGGATATTTGTCCATATAGGTCTTGACGTTGTACCGTTAATAGATTATTGCCAATGATTTATTCCACGTGTTATAGTATCTGATGAATGATATCTTTTCAGCAATTGTCTTCTTTATATAACTAATATTATAAGTTACTTCATTTATTTTAATCTAATTCAGATGAAGGACCATCCATCCAAGTCAATTCTGAAGTATCCTTAAACTATAATGACATAAAGGCTGTTATTGAAGGTATTTGCTAATAGATATTACTAAGGAATATTAAGTATATGTGCTAGCAAATCATATAGACAATGTATATATATATATATAGACCTCAGTAATATTCGAACTATTTAACAGTGTTTTTTCACACGTATTTTAGTTCTGTATATAAGTCATTTTTATTTTCTCCGCTGTTTTATTCTCATTTATATCAATAGTAATCAGTAGCAGTATTCATGCTTATCCCACAATAACAGTAGTACTAATCCATTATATTTTATGGGCTATAGTTTTAGTTTCTCGCGTAATTAAAGATTGATTTAACATGATATTATAGTCATTTATTTTGCATTTGTTTGAGCAGAAACCAGACGCCATAACTCAGGAAAGCATCATGTAGTTTCGACAGATTATTCAACATACCTGATTTTTGCGATATGTATCAAAGAAGAGGGTACGTATTTTATATTATTATGAAAGCTATACGGGCTCATAAGACACATACGGTAGTGATTGTGTAGCTTATTTGCGTTAGCAAACTGGTAATCTCGTATTGCTCTTTTTTGTGAAAAAGTTTGTTCGCTCTCTGTGAGAGTTGTAGGTTGCCAATACGTGAACACCTATAACAAAAGATTTTATTTCATCTTCCAATTGCGATATTGTTCAAATTTCTATCTGACTTGAAGCACCGAAGAGAATGAACACGCCAATGGAGTGCTAAGAAGGAATCAAACCTCATGTAAAAATGACAACGTTTTTTTTATTATAGTTGAAACAGTTTGTACAGTTCAAAACTTCGTTGTAATTTTCATCAGATGAGTTGCTTGTCCTGGTTTTTCAATCGACACCGGATCCGTCCGATAAAGACATGTTGCAAGCTGAAAATGGCCTTCGCATTATCAAAGCACACTCTCCCTTGGAACCGTCGAAATGTTTTCAGCACGACTTCGAAAAAAAGAAAAGATAGAAATGATCGATCTACACTCAGAAAAACAAAACACGATGTTTGCAGAACAAGTGAAGACTAGAATTTTGTATCCAGGAATATCTTTAATAATTACTCTTTATACTTCAAACTACTACATTAAATTTTAACAGGTCTACCAATATGCAATTAATTTGTGACTAATTGTAGACGATTCTATATTATTAATTCAAATTATCAACTTGGATCGAAAATAAGAATAAAAACTATGTAAGGTTGAAAATTGTAATTACCTATTGCTGGGGTGACTAACACATCCATCGTCTAATGTTGAGTAAATTTTATACTATACCCCGAATCGCCTTGGACCGGTTTCGTGCAGAGCTTGCTGTGTGTAATAAAACAGGATATGATATAGTATTGTACATGCGCAAAATACAACATTCACATACAGTATTTGAGCAGAAACAATGTATAACAACATGACGCATTTGTTTATTTATTATAATTTCATTTGGCGTTAGAGTAATAACCCCAATTTTTATTGCTAAAAAGTGGCCCCCGCCTTATTCGCTGGGTCAACTCGACTCATTAGCCAGAAAAAAGATAGTTGTGCGAATCAGGTCATTATGAAGTTTTTGACGTTATAATTCATAAAAATTCAATTTGACAGAGGCAAACCAAAGCCGAACTTATACTCATTAAACAAATAAGATACTTCATCGCAAATTGCCGAAAAAATTACAAATATTACTTATTTAGAACGATCTGTTAGTGCAGTGGTTCTCAGCCTTTCTTTCTTACGTGGCCCATTTTCGTAGCACAAAAATTCTGTGGCCCACTAACTTTTTCATGCTAGGTAAAAACTTCAAGAAAAAATAGAATTCTTTCTGCGAAAATAGACACTCTCACTTTAATAATAATTACGGTAGGTGAAAATTACCACCCTGTAACAAAAAACAGCATCATTCACTGGTACTACCAATAAATTTAACTAACTTTATATATTTACTCCACTGACTTGTAACTTTATAAACCACTTGGCTATTTGAATACTGTAACGATAATAAATTTCGGTTACGAGATATCCCGTTCCGTATGTTATAGAGATTCATGAGAACACTGAAGTACATAGAATAACTTGTATTTGACTAGAACTTACGGTGATGATGGAAATATCTTGACGGATGACTTACGTGAGCGCTGTGTTTGGGCACCAGATTAGCTCGTTATCTTGACTGTAATATATTCTCAAACCAAAAATATCTATACTTTGAACCTCAAATGTATCATCGCAATTCTCAGACAGACCCAATGGGCAAAGTACAAAACTGAATACTTTTACAGGATACAAACTAATGCCGTGCTCGTTTCCAGAATGACATTCGACAATCACATCAAACAACACTGCACGAAATTTTATACCATGGAACCACGAACATCGGCATCTCATATCGATACTGCAAACTTGATGTTTATTGAAATGACGTACAAATGCATCGATACTTTGAGGGCGGCTGAAAACTGTTTCTTGATATGACGTGAAGTCTATACTCAACAAAGGTATTGTATTTCAATATGGGGTGTTGGCATGTGAGTATGTACAAGGATGGATGGTGACCCACTTTTATTCAACGGTTCAAAAATTCTTTTCATTGTAGAAATAATACTCTGCGAGTCTAATAATCCCTGGCTGGTATTGTGTAGTTTCGAGCTTCACATATGCCCATTCTGTGAGTTGAGAAGTCTTGCCCGGACTCCGGCCCAGTGTCAATTCTAGATATTAAATTATCAATTCGATTAAACTATTTTATGATATAAACTAAATTTGAATCAGAAATTTAACATCACACAACTTCATCAAAACCCACATCGTGTGAAGCAATTGTAGCTGCAGCCATTTTGTTTGCATTATTTGGTGCCAGTGGACATAGTTTTCAGACTGGCCTTTTATAAGGAGTCACAAGCTAAATACTTCCAAGGATATTTGAAAATTTAGACCAAGGTGTCAGTTTTGGGACCCAGAAATGATAGGTTGCTAAGACTCTTTTTTTAGGAATATTCAAAACGGTTGACCGAAATGAAAATGAACTATTAGCACCAAATAAATGATCAAGGACATCATACAGAATATATAACTACATTATATTTACATAAAACAACCCCCCATGACAGCATAGTTCCAAAATGACAGATACACAACCGAAGTAGAACTATAAATGCAATCTCTGTACATGCAAATATCATGTTATATCGAACGATTCAAAATATAGTAAATTGACGCTATAAACGAGACTATGAAATTTAAGCCACGAAGGTAGATCAAGAAATGCAATCCTGAACTGCTACAGCAAAAAATAAAATCCTAAACACCTTAGTGGGATTAAAGGTGCGGTAGAAAACTTAATACACAAATCAACGACATATAAGAAAGCAAACAGCGACATGTAACACAGTAAATAATGACAACCACGAGACAGCAATAATCATCACGATGGCTATACAGGTTTGAATCAGCGCGAACTGAACTGAAACTCAAAGCTGCACTGACTGCCAACACAGGGGTTTCCTAACTTTTCTTTTTTATTATTGCTATAAATTAATGTACAGATTGATGAATAAATAACTTTTTGCATATAGTGAGGGAAGAATAAAGAGTTTCAAAATAAGCGAAGAGGGGAATTTAACGGAACTGGTTTGAAAACTTCTTTTTGTATTTTCAGGTCATAATGGTGTCTACCAATGCGAGATATTTTCCCCCTGTTTCCTGATCAATTTAGCGATAAGTTTAACGTGGTTTTATGACAACTAACGTGGCCGGATACGCTGTGCTCAATCCAAGAACCGTCAAATAGCAACTAGCAAACGGGAAACTATAGCAACGGCTAGGGTTTTGTTTTTTTATCAATTCTAAAAAAACATCTTGTTTTAAAAGAAGGGCTCGTTTTAAATCATTTTTTTCCTGTATTTTTTATTAAATAAATACCCCTTGCAACGCCGTGAAACTAAGCCAAAACGTTGCGTTAAGGCACGCTGCCGGAATAATAAATTCGAAAATGTAAGTAAAAATTCTTGCTTTGACTTTCACTTTTATCAATACAATTATCTCCAAGTTTGTACCTACTCCAAAGTCATAAGATTTTAACAGGAATCAGAGAGACATTTTGAGTAAGAAAAGTCATAAAACATATAGCTCACGAGACTAATACAATACAAAAGCAATCGGATCAAGGGCAGCCTTCGGCAAAACAATTGCGTTACGATAATGAGAAATACTCGTATACCTAGATCGACGACAACTCACGGATTGAGACGATGAGACACCCTAGTCTACTCTAGGCTATGCTAATTGCAATACCCCTCTGATACAGCTAATCTGTTATGACTTCATATTAGGGATTTCGAGTTTATCTATTGGCATTTTTTTCATAAAATAAAGGCAATATTACGTTTAAAACTTTTCGGTTAATTTAAATTCGCATACTTTGTTTTTGAGGTGAAAGGGATAGAGCATTTCAAAGTCATACAAACTCATTTATCCGGCCGTATTCCAATTTCCGCAAGGTGGTTTCGTCGCAGAGTGGTTCACGTAAGGGCTTATCAGTTGCATCTTCCTGCGCCAACCACATTTGCGTACGCATTGAACTACAGCTTGAAGAAGCGTGTATGGGCAAGTCATCGATATTTGTGGCGTTTCAATAGATTTATTGAGAATAATAGGCGCTTGGCAAGTTTTTACATCCATTTTTTCTTAAAACCAATTTAATACAACAAAAAAATGATAATACAGTCTTTTTAAACAAATCGGGTAAAAAAAACTTGATTTAAAATAATTGTTTTAAAACAATTTCCTTTGAACGAATCCCTAGCCACGGCTAACCGTCTTTGGAAAGGCGGGGATGCAGATAGGTTAACCGGCAGGTGGTGTCTCAAAAATATCGTTCCCTAAACCCGGTAGAATAGTATACTGTGTCAGATTGCATACCCATACTACTTCGCTCTGGCCGACGTGTGCATATATTCTACCATCGACCAACTCCTTCTCACTTGGCAGCGCGCTCGGATGTTCGAGTACTGAATTTCCATTCGAGTGCCGAAGCATTTTTGGTCGACTATCAAACTGTTCGAGTAATAATTATTGAGTCATTCGACAACCGAGGTATCACTGTCACGAGTCATCCTATCCGACAATCCATATTTTTCGTTTCGAAAGGACTGCTCAGGCCAAATATTGCATTGTTACAAACCCACGTTTCCTTCCTTTACTGGTATTGCTCATATAACTGAACCCGATCCAATATTATATTGCTGAGAATGTGAGTGGTAATGTTCCTAATATTTCAACGAATTTTATTTAAAAATAATAAAATACATTATATTATTTAACAAAATCCAACAAAGGGAAACAGTCGAAGGCCTGAGTGTATAGCATTTATGTAAAATGCATTTGATTGCAGTAAAGATGAGACTTAATTATACACGTAAAGAAGAATTGCAGGATAAATTCAGGGTATACGACTTTCATTCAGTACTCACACATTTTTAAACTTTGAATAAATAACTATAACGATACCGAATGATTTTACCAGCATAGATCCGTACTTCTCATCCAAAATATAGACAGAATTGAGGCGAGTTGTTCAGGTTAGGCTACGCAGTTAGATGAATGGTTGTTACAAAATCTTCAGGCAGTACATAATAATTCAGATGAAATTCGATAACGCTTTGCCAGGAAGCAGCTAATCAAAACGGCCCAAACAAACAATGGACTTAATCGCACTTATAAGTGCCAAGGCCGAACAGAAATTGTGATATATATTTCTATGCGTTGGCAAACTAGTTCGTGGGTGAATAGCTCTGAGTTTTATTTTTGTGATGCAGACTAAAGCCAAAGGTACTCAGTATATAGTAGTTGAATCTTTTTTTATAATGGTCGCCCTCACTCAAAGTATATGTTATGTTTTACGGAGTCATTAATTCTTATATATCAGGTCAGGAGTGGCCGACCTGCTTTCGACCGCGATCGACCAAAATCTTCAAAATAGATCGCGATCAACTGATCGGTAAT